TTCATCCATTCAAATGTATCTCAGATTTTCTGGTATTCACTACAATTGATCTTCTTTGACACTTTTACAGATATACAATAAAGTGTGTCTCTCTTTACTATTTTCACACTATTTAACATTGTTCCAAGTTCATTCTCTTTCTTTCAGGTTGCTAAACACATTCAGTGCTCAGCTAATCAGTAGAGCCAGAGAATCGTATTTCCAAGACCTTATTTTCACAGTGGGAACAGTTGCAAAGCTGTGAGCTCCTACTGTCTAGCATATTTACCAAAATGAACAAACACATAAATAAATTATTACTTCTAAACAAGCAAAGTTTCTGAGAGGTCCCTAATGATCATTTCTTGGAAATATAGTTTCCTAAGCTGCAATTGTGGATCTCAGGTATAACTCCACAGAAAATGGTGCCAAATGTCAGTCATTACTCAGTATACCAGAGATGCCAGTATTTGGCCAGTGATCTGGGGACTCTTTCCATGTGTTTTTATGAGAAAATCTTCATCGACATAAAAGATAATCTGTAAACATAATTTAAATTCATTAAAGCATGTAAACACTACAGATTTGTTCAATTTACTTAAATGCATTGATTGATTAGAGGGCTGGAGCTCCTCTCCTATGAAGACAGGTTGGGATAGTGGGCATTTTTCAGCCTAGAGAAGGCTCAAAGGACCTTATAGAAGACACAAGTACCTAAAGGTGTCTACCAGAGACTTGGAGAGGAACTTTTCCCAAGGGCATATAGTGATAGGACAACGGGGAATGGTGGTAAGCTGAAAGAGGGCAGATTTAGATTAGACATCAGGAAGAAATTCTTTGAGTGTTGTGAAGTACTGGAACAGGTTGCCCAGAGGAGCTGTGGACCCCTCAACCCTGGAATTGTTCAAGACCAAGGTGGATGGGGTCTTGAGCAGCCTGGCCTAGTTGATGATGCCGCTACACATGACAAGGGGTTACAACTAGATGTTCTTTAAGGTCCCTTCCAATCCAAGCATTCTATGATCTAAGCCAAGGAGAAATCTGTGTAACTTCATCAGGAGTTTTGCATAAGGGCTATAACAGCATGTCCCTATAAGAGCAGTCAGTGCTACACACCATTCCAACTTACCTTTCCTCTTTCTAGAGGAAGTCCCAGACACGAGGGCAACACAATGGTTTGACATTCAGTGATGTGAATGTGACAATGAACATGGCTGGTGATAATGTAGCAACTATATTGTCTTTAACTCAAGTCTCATATGTAGTTCTTCAGCTGGGACGGAATAAAACACCCATCAGTTCCTTTTCCATGTATGAATTAACCTCAGCAAAGGGGAGGAGACCCTGCAGAGTTCATAATACTGAATACTGTAATACATTTTTCTCTAAAACTGCATTCCATTAACTGAGAATAATGCAGCCTTTATTCTTTCATACATATATTAGCTTAATGAGCCACTAAAGTGCCTAGTATTTAAAGCATACACAAAGATCTATAGTTTGAATTTCACAAGTCATCCAAATATCTTACAAGTGCCAATAGTACTCTCAACAGAAATTTAGCCTTTCATTTATTTTAAATTGCTCTTTCATTTTATTCCATAAATGCATTTATTTACAAGAAGGCAGTTGAAATCTTTAATACTGAATCAAGAAATCTAAGTTAGAAAAAGCAAAATGGGAACATATATGTCAGATGATGCCCTGCTCCTAATCAGGTCCCAGGAAATTAGACTCATTTTCTCTCTTACTTTCTCTAGGCAATTAATCAGAAAATTATTCCCTTCCCACTGATCAGAGTTCCATAAGGAAATCTGTCCCCTTGGAAGAAAAAATATCCACAAGGGGTCATGTGCTTTGGCAGAGACCTCCAGATCTCCCAGAGAGGCTGCTGAAACACAGGAATGTTGTGTTTAGACCTCACCATGGGAATTCCCCAGCATTCACATGGCCTGTGAATGTGACAAGGGAGTCATTGATTCAGCCTTGCCACTTTTGCAAAGTCCAAACTGTTTGAAACCACAGTCGATGCATGCCCAGAGGATCAAGGAAAGACAGAATACGGTTTCAGAACTACAACTATTTTCTATTGCAGACCAGCCTCACCCATGTCTTTTTGCCTTCTCAGAAGTTTATTGCATCTAATTGCCTCTGTATTATTGGCTCAGGAACAACACCCATAAATCTGTGAAATGTCTACATGGTATTATCCTTGCATAATCTTGGCATACTTGTAACTAAAATCCTTCACCAAATGGAAATTTACTGCCAGTAGTTTCTAGGCAGATGTGATTTTCCAAAATCTGTTATTTTACTCATTATTCTACCAGAAGTCTGGTCTGTCCTGTATTTCTATGTATGATGAATAATTTCAGTAATGTTATTTTAAAAGTCCTTTTGAGTTCTGTTACTTCGATTTTTCCATCATTCTATATCTCATAACTATTGCCATTGACTTATATGAAAAGGTAATTACAGCAGAGCAGCATTTTAGCTGATGCTAAAAAATACACATATATCAAGAGTATTCAACAATTTCCTTCCCCTTTGTTCCAAAATAACTGCATATAATACTATATAACCTCTATTATAACTAAATGTATGTTTTATGGTTGTGAGAATTTTAATATATCTCATTCTAAAGTCTACTGGTTCCATTTGTGTGATGGCTCAGCACTGCTAGTAGATTAAAAAAAAGAAAAAAGAACTTGTGCTGTCACACTTACGAGGAATTACAGTTTTTGAGCCAAGAAGTAGCTCTATCATGCAACAAAAGACTGTAATTCAACACACCTGAAAGAGCTCAGCAGCTTTGGAAGCCTGCCTTTTAGGCAGAAAAGACAGTCAAAGGGCTAAACTGGACTAACAATGCAAAAACTTTGATAAGGGACCTTGGAGTTTTCAATGGAATACTTCTTTCTTCCACCTTCCCAGCTTCCCTAATAAGTACTTTTTAATAGGGTTCTTAATAAATAATAATAAATAATAGGTTCATTCTACTTGAGGCAAGCTGAAAATAGAAGACCAATTCATGCAAATATGTAAAAGCAAAGGAAGTCTTCAGAACAAGGAAATTAAACCACTGCAATTTCTAGTGTTTGTGGGAGAAAAAAAACCAAACAATACAGAATGTTTGGGGAGGACTGAAACTCCCAAGATGCTAAAATGTATTCCAAAATACATTTGCAGCAACAGTGCAAAACAGTGATAAGTGATGTAAACAGTAGTAAGAAATTGCATTGGATCTCAGCATGTTTTCCAAGATATATACATAAAATTTACTTAATCTAACACTGTTGCAGACTAGAAACTTTATAGTCTTTATGCCTGCTGAAGATGTTCTGCACTCCAGCACGGAATTCTGTCAGGCCTATTTAAAGTCAAGTTCAGACTACCCATGTGCTATACTCATATCCTTCATTTCTCCTTATCTATTTCCTTCTAAAGGCTGGAAGAGAATTGTAAAAAAATGAGTTTATGCTATGTTAATAGTTAATATTCACTTGATAAGCATGCAAAAGCTTTATTCTCAGTAGGCGCATGCAGAGAGAGCACATGGGTATACCATATCTATACAAATATATTCACACACATACCTATATGCAGTTGGCCACACATTCTGTGGAATGGTTTGGGTTGGAAAGGACCTTAAAGATCATCTACATCCAACATTCCTGTGCTGGCCACCTGCAAGGCAGCAGTGTGGTCCCATCCTACCCATGCCTGCACCCCTGATGTTGGTAAGGGCTGCTGGGGGACAAGGATGGGGCAAGTGAGTGTCCCCCCTCACCTCTGGGAGGTGACAGGGTAGCCAGAGTCACAAGCAGGAGTGGCATCCTCTGCCAGCCTGTGCCACAGCTGGGAGGCTGATCTCAGTACTGGCCTCTCACAGAATCACAGAATATTCTAACTTGGAAGGGACTCACAAGGATCATCAAGTCCAACTCCTGGCCTTGGACAAGACAGCCCCAAGAACTCCACCACATGTGTGAGAGCTTTGTCCAAACTCTTCTTGAATTTTGTCAGGCATGGTGCTGTGACCACTTCCATGGGGAGCCCATTCCAATGCCCAACCACGCTTTGGGTGGAGAACTTTTTTCTAATATCCAACCTAAACCTCCCCTGACACAGCCTCAGACCATTCCTTTGGGTCCTGTCTCTGGTCACCACAGAGGAGAGATCGGTGCCTGCCCCTCCTCTTCCCCTCATGAGGGCATTGTAGACTGAATTGAGGTCTCCCCTCAGGCTCCTCCAGGCTGAACAGACCAAGTGACCTCAGCTGCTCCACATACAGCTTTCCTTCAAGGCCCTTTACCATTTTGGTTGCCCTTCTTTGGACACTCTTTAATAATTTAATGTCTTTTTTATATTGAGGAGCCCAACACTGCACATATGACTCAAGGTAGGGCTGCTCCAGTGCAGAGCAGAGCAGGACAATCCCCTCCCTTGCCTGGCTGGCCATGCTGTGCCTGATACACCCCAGGACATGCTTGACCCTCCTGACTGCCAGGGCTGACTCAGATTCAACCATCAACCAGGACCCAGGTTCTTTTTTGTGGCACTGCTTTCCAGCATTTCCATCTCATTCTCCAGTCTGTACACACAACCAAGGTTGTTGCCTCCAAGGTGCAGAACCCAGAACCTCCCAACTCACTTCTCTTCACTAGAAATCAGAGGAAGAAGTTAAAGGAAAAATAAAATAAGTTCCCACATCTTACAGTGACAAAAATATTTGGAAGCTTTGTGACAATATCAGGAGTCAGAATCAGGACCCTCTAGAAGAATTTCATGATGTTTCCATAGAAAGAAAACATTGTTGTCTTGAAACAAGCTCTTTCACCCAGTGTGCAAGGAGATGATCCATAGTCAGAGTGGAGGTTATGTCTGGTTTCCTTCATATGCTAAAAGAAGTTTCTTTTTTCTATTCTTCTGTTCTTAGTTGCTGCAATTACTGAGACATTAAACATAATTTTTCCATTTGGGAGAAGTACATCAACATTAGAATATACTGAAGTCAAGTATCACAGATAATTTAACGTTGCAATTTCTTTCTTCATTGCCTAACAAGAAAAAGACAAATGAAGAGTCACAGTGTGAACGCAAGCAAGAGAACCCTGTTTGCTTCTTCATCAAAAGAATCAAGAGTCTGTTGATAACTTACAGTTGTTAGTAAGTTTAGCCAATACATCTTTAGCCAATACATGTGCTTCATCTTTCTAGACCTGTTAGTTTCAAACAAATCCTTAGGCAACCAAAATACAGAGTAGGCTAGAGAGACTGGAGGAATCTGTATTATGGGACTATGGATCTTTATCAGTGATAGTTTCAACAATGAGAGAAGAAGCAGTTCCCAAAAAGCCACAACTAAAAGCTGGAACTGTTCTTTTCTGCACTCTGATTAAGTACTTGTTAAAGTCTCTCTCTTCATATACAGCAAAGGTTGCTTCTGATCAAATCATGCAGGTACTCTGAAGAGGAGGTGTTTTACCGTTAAGGTAGAAGTAGAAAACAAATCAAAAAAATCAAGTCCAGTCACAAAAGCTCAAAAGCTGTCAGATAACATAAACAGGTCCCTATTCACACCAAACCACATCAATATGAGAGAAGAGTGGGTGCATTTTTCAGGACTGGCCTGCACAATCAGAACAGAGTCTGTTCTAGCTCTTTATCAGCTCTGGAAGAAGAGATTGAGATGACTAGGGCCAAAGAGAACAATCTTTTTTTAAGGCAGACTGAGAGGCATAATAAATTTTATCTATTCTCAGGCACAAGCATCTGAAAGACAAATGGATTCAAGGGCCTTGAAGCTGAAGTTGAATATCCAACCTACCTTAATGAACTGAATACTGGGAATGCCCAACTGGGACCATGGGTGCCTGTGGAAGATTTCTGCCTAGTTCTGACAGCTCAGAAATCCCCTCTTAGAGGCAAAGATTAGAGAATTTGACTCATTAGCAAACTGTCATAGGCACAAAACCCCCCATTTGTCAAATTAAAGATGCTTGGGCCATGCTAATTAAAAATAAAGTCTGGTGAGACTAGAAAAAAGTCTTAAGTTCTTGTTATGCTTTATACTTAATTTCTTTTCAAGAATGGAATGACTACTATACAAGCATTACCACATGTGCCTGCCTGCAAGGGGGAAAAGAGGAAGTGACACACTGAGAAATGCACCCTCCTTTCACAGCCTCCCAGAGCCCTGAAAAGCTTCTGGAGACTACTGACAGACTGAGGTTAACTGGTTTGAGAGGCCTGAGTGGGTGGAGCCATTGCCTTCAAGCCTTTTCCTTCTGAGACTGCCAAAAATTATGCTACATACAACAAAAGTTTTGCAACATGGATAAATGTCTTCCAGACTGAAATGAAAGCCTTGAGAGACAGGCAACTGAGCTGCACAAAGTAATGCCAAATAAGCATGATGTTCACAGTGCACCCATACACATACACAACGCTCACACACATGTATAATAGCATGTGACACAAAGGGCTACAAGACAAAAAATTTACCTTCACTAACTCAGTTTTGTCATCATCTTCCCGATGTCGGTAAATGCACTGGCTAAGAAGAGCATATAGTCTTTCCATGCGAGATATACTGACATTCTCAGTTGCCGCAATGACCAAATCCAGCACTTGCTGAAGCAAAAAAATGGAAACTGCAATTCAGAACAGCACACGATACATCCTATTTTCTTATATTTTTAAATAGAAGTGGCACTTCAGAAAACTGATTAAGTATCTCAAAAAGATTTAACTGGAGGAAGCAAATTAATATTTCACGTCAGAGAAAAACTTGCATTTCAGAGAGGATTTTCTTACTCATCACTATATTACATCAGTGATCATAACTGCAATTCAACTCCTTCTAGAACAGCTGGGAATGACACAATCTACTTTGTCACAGAGTGGCTGCCTCAGGGAAATCATGGTTGCATTTCATTAGAAGTGCAATAGACAGCCCTAGAAAATGAGTTTTTAGAAACAAGCCTACAGATCTTCCAGACAGAGCTGTGCCAGATGGAAACAGAAGCATCCTTAGGTGCTCACCTCTACCCATTAGCTGAATCTGTACTGTGACTAACATCAGTCAGCTCCTACCTTTCAACTCAAGAGTGGATGAACTAGCAGAGCAGTCTATAGGAAATTACTATCTCTCACACAGTTCCTTGTGTTACCAAAAATGTGAGTGTGGTAATCTGGGGAAAGCAACACTAACAAGCTAGCAGCAGCACTGCTGGGGCTGTTCAGTAGCTGTGTTTTGTGGGAGGCTGTACAGATGTAGTTGAAGAGAGCAGCCACATCAAACAAAAATACTACTGCCTCACAACTGCTTGCCATCAGACTCAGCCTCCCTTAGATCAGCTACTGGAAGATTTGAGTTCTACACCTAATATCAAGCAAATAAGGGAATACGCATCCAAAAGAAACCCCCAAGAAAATAAAACCAACCAACCAAAACCCCCATACAAAACCAAGCAGCTCCATTTTGGAGGGGCTCTCTGCTACAAGCAGTGAGTTCCAGTGACACCCACGTCAAGGAAAGAAGTCTTCTAAAAGATGTGTGTCATGACTGTAGCCCTCTCCTCACAGCTAAAACACATATGAGCAGAAACGTCAGTAAGGGCTCTACCCTACCACTTCTGCAGTCAGCAGGCAATAACTTCAGATTACATGCCATTAGCATCCTGATTCTAGAAAAAAACTATGTAGCTAATATACAAACAGGCATGAACAACACAACCCCCTGCAATTTGCTTCCTTAGGAAGCCATATTGGAAAGTTAATTTAACCTCTACAGTTCAGATCAACACTTAAAAATGTGATAGAAGTTATGCTGGTGAGCCCCTTTATCAAAGGGAATTATCTCACCCACACAAGGGAAATAACCTAGTAATACTCCCTTTCTTATCACAGCACGTAAACAGCAGCTTCCTCTGCTTTGACCAACCTCCAGAAATGCAACCTAGTAATTTCCTGAATTTTTCTTGTGGCTACATCCCCTGAAGGGTGGGTCATTCTTCTACCCTCTCCAGTTCATGCAAAGGAACCTCTTTTTCCTTCTGCAGCTAGGCCCATGTTTAATCCTTCCCCTGGCTATACTTTAGGATAACAACTTCTGTCCTAGAGGGAACTAGAAAAAACATGTAACTGTACGGATACAAAATTCTAGCACTGAATTTTGAAAGTATTTGAGAAAAATCAAAGCATTTTATCCAGGGTGATCTTTTGGTCCACCTTCTAATTTCAGGTTTAAAGTCATCACTGCTAAAAATCAAGGTTCTTTTCCAGGTCCTAATTAATGAAAGCATGCAAACAGCAAACCAAAATATCCATCTCCCCAGTCCATCATAAAACTGCTAAGCAACAGCAGTAGCAGGTTCACAATTTAACAAGCCCTTTTACATTGAAGATTAGGAAGAGAACGGTCTCCTAAAATTCAGTTCACCAGAAGCAAGAGCAGCCACCTGCACCAGCTCTGGAAACAACAGTCATTACAGGCTGAATCATTTCACAAGCTATATATCCCTCTCATGAATTGCTTGAATTGGCATTGGTTAACAAGTGACTTAACTGACAACCATACAGGTAGCAAGAAAACATCCTACTTCAGTACTAACAAAATTGAAATTAGACTTACTCTGAGTTCAGAGTAATCCACAGACACTCCCTGTATGTGAATTTTCTTTGCTTCCCCGTCACATACTTGCAGTTGCTCATCCAGCTGAGAATGTCCCACACAAGCTGTAGGATGTACTTGTGAATCTGGAATTACACACGTTTTTGAAATCAAGATTTCTCTTTATCTGGAATACAGTATCAGTGAAGTATCTTGTACCTGGAAAAGACTAGCCTCTGCAATAACAGAGACAGAATTGTTATCCATTTTTTTTACAGAAAAATGCTTGACTTCTAACCTTCTAGTGCTGCTCCATAAAAACTAGGAACTTGGACATGAAGAAAAGCACTAGAGAAAAAAGGCGGGGTAAAACTAAGAAGAAATATTCATGCTGCCACTACAGCACTGCACAGTAAACCTGATGTTAAAAAAACCAAACATGGTCTAAAAAAGTAATATTTTAGGTTAGGAAACACATCTACACATCTTACATTTCAAACATTGGGACATAATTCTTCTATACCACAGGGGTCTCTGTGTCCACACTGTTTTAGGTACAGCAGTATAGTTTACACTTAGGCTGCTTATTACTGGGAATATATTCGTACAATTCGGTATCATTTGAAAAACAAACTGTAGAATCAAAAAAAAACCAGCCACTGTAAAAAATCATGGCTGTAGCCAAAGTAACCACAGGAGCAACAACATCATTATGCAAGGAACACTGTGTGTTGATTTGAGAGAGACACAAAAGAAGTAACAGAAGGACATTCAGGAACGCTAAAACCGAATAAATAGTGTCACTCTCCTCAAAAACAAAAAGGAGCTAAATTACCTGTTTGACCTTGCACTTACCACTTGAACCTGAATCTTCAACAGTTCTGGCTATTTGGCAATCTGGCATTTCAATCTCCTCTCTTAGGTCTGAACATTCAGGAAGCATGACACTCTTTTCTTCAGCAGGGCATTTAGCCACAAGGGTCACTCTCTCACTTTCATTTTCTGTCCCATTTTTCTGTTGTCCTTGAAGTACATTTTCATGTTCTTCTATAGGACTGTCCTGGGAGGATACAAACTGAACATTCTCCCTCTTTACTGAGATACTTGAAGAGTCTTCCTTCATTTTACATTTTCTTTTTGACTTATCTACAAAGAAATACCAAAAAAGTAATCCCAAAGCAGTCCTTTCTTCAAAACGCAGCAGCAGCATCTTGCAAGGAAAATAACCACAGGAGCTTCAGTACTATCTCCCTACAAGTGTCTAGAGAAAAGGTTGCAAGTTAATGAGATCAGTTCTCTATTAGATATATTATAGGCAGGGAAGGGAAAAACACTGTTTCGTGTAACTGCAAACTAGCTGAATATTCGAAACAGAGACAATGTTTTGAATTTCAAGATGTAGGTGCTATTAAATGTCAGTTGGGCCATCAAGGCCAGGCTCTTACAATGTCATGCAGCCAGTGCATTCAACTTCATAACCATACTGAATGAATGACCTCAGGATTTACTCCACAAGCAGCATAATGAAAAATTCAGTGCCTCTGGCATGAAGAACTAAGCATCACAGGAACCTACTTTTAGGCCACAGGAACAGAGAAGGTAGCAGTGACTTTAGATCTTCTCCAAGAAAGTCTGATAAAATGCAACTTGCCATTAGAGCAGGAGGTACTGGTGTCCACAGGCGCTGCAGGCGTCTTGCATTTCTCATTACACTTTGAGTTTTCTTTCTTACACCCACAGAGCAAAGAATTGTGTCTTGTGTGGCTGGTTACAAAGCATGAGACAAGTCTTAAAATCCTCAGCATCAAAAAACCTACCTCTTTCCTTACGAGACTCTTTAATTTTTTGGCAGCGTTGCTCAAAATCTTCATCCATTTCATGCCTCACTATGGAATATGCCGTATCACTCAAAGTACAAGCTTTGTGCCTCAGGAGATGATCTGAAATTTTACAGCCAGAACTGAGCATTTTCTAGCAGTCAATGAAACTCTTTATTTTTGGTTAATGACAATTATTTTTCTTTTTACATAGGCAGGTTCTGAAAGGTTATCTCAGTCTGTATTTTCAGCATAAAAATAGAAAAGTTAATTATTTAATAAAAAGTACTAGTTACCAATGAACACATCTATCACAATTCCATACCAAACAATATATCTAACACTAAAACATTTACAACCTGGCAAGAAATGCTCTCTGGGGTTGTTTAAAATTATCTAATGGGCCTCTTTAGAATTATCTGATACCATATCCGCTGTGGGATTACTAAATTTCCACAGAAAAACATCTATCCATTTATACATCTGAAATTTTTCCAAATTAGGAATAAAAAATAGACCCGTACCTGCAGGCCCTTTATTTGGTTTGTACTCTAAAGCATTGCTACATATTAGATCAATATCCTTTAGAAAATCTCTTGCAGTTAAGTATTGGTGCATGTCAATCTTGAAGAGAACTGTCGAGAGGTCCATGGGCTGTTCAATTGTGTCCTTGTAATTGGGTGCCTACAAATTAAATATACATGCTCAGAGATTTAAGCTACAAAAATTCATGACTTTCATAAAGTCAAATAAAGGACTTCATAAAAGCCCCATGTATTTATAACACCCACAAAGATGCAGAAAATAACCAGCTTCTTGAAAATGGAAAAGGTATTTCAGGTGTCTTTGAAGAGACAGACCAGAAGAGGGGGAAAAAAGAAGCAGGGTGGTCAGAAGCATGTGTGGAGCAGAGAGGGGAACTGGTGTGATGCATTTCACTTCCTTTCAGAAAATCACAGCAGAGAAACCTTTCTCAGTAACGTCACTTTGGGTTCTCTTTGTTGTTGGCAGCAAGAAAAAAACCTGCAGGATTTGCACCTTTGAAGCACTTGTCCTAAGCATCTACTCTAGAATGAGATAACTGGACCCAGAAAAGTCAATTTCTTTACTCAGAGCTTAAAAGAAGCCTAATCACTACTTTAGATTAGGACATCCGTGTGTTTACAGGTTATTCAGGTTATTATAGTTATCTTGGAAACTACAAGGAAAGAAAGACAAGTGAGTGGATACTTAGGGGAATGGGACTTTGCTGAAATGCAAAGCTATCTTAAAATTACAACTGACTTTGAAGTACATGCCCCTGGCATAGACTTATTCAATAAATTCAATGGGAAGTGTATGGGAGCAAGAAAAAACATGCAGCCTTTATGGTTGATTAAGTACTGAGAAAAGCCCCAGATGAAACTGAGAATAGTATCTGAAAATTTATTTGACAAACTGCTGCTTCTACTCCTGTTCTCACAGAAACTATTTAATCAAAGAGCTTTACAGTTTATTAAAACAGCCCTTTTGGTACTTTTTATAAATATAAAGTGATCTCTCTGCTTTTTAGTGCTGTAACATACCTACGTATCCAAACCTTTCCATGGGCAAATTGTGTTGACATTTGGTGTAACTGGCACTTGGACTAGCTCATCCTTGTAGATCCATTCTAACTGAAATATTCTAAAGTTTTAAAGATCTTTTAGAAAGAACATAGGGCTTTCAGTGAATACCCAAATAATAAACATTTGAGAGTCTCAAGGAGTCAAGTAAAAGCAAAATTCACTTCCTTCTTCTTGTAATATCAGTATAGTACGGTCCTAACATGAAAGATAAACTTTCCTACAAAGAGCACAAGAACACCAAGAAACATAAACACAGAGGAATTATGAATACACACAGTTATGATGGTATTATAAGTCAATACTAACCTCCTCTGAGACAATGGGCTTTGTAAATGCTTTGAAACGTTTGTCAATGACAAGTCTTTGAGCCACATCTCTTAAGTAAATCCTGAGTTCACGCAATGTATCCTCTTCCTGCTCTTCCAACTGTTTTATTTCTTCCTCTGTCAGCTTTCGAGGCGTAGGTGGTGGTGCTACAGGCAGCACTTCCAAAGGCTGGCAAGCTTAATTGAATCAGAAAGTTGTAGTTAACTGATGGCACTCATATACAAGCACATGAAAAATGACTGATAGAAAATTATCACCCAAGCAAATACTGTATTAACTGTTAACCTAGAGTTAGCAAAGTTCTGTATGTAGAGCATCCTCCTCACTTGTGTTGTTTTTTAATGCAGGAGGTTGAGCAGCTTGCTTCATAACTAAGTCCTCAAAAAAACGTCTTCTCTCAGCACAGGTTGGACGTGAGATTCTGAATACTTCTTCATATTCATTATTAAACAATACTTTTATCTAAAACACGAAGAGAAAATATACTTCAGTTATACAAGGCCATGCAAACTTCTTATATTCTGTTCCAAAAAAATTAGTATCTCTCTGAATAAAACTGAATACTTATCTGGATAAGATTATAAATTAACAGTTATCTTTGTGGCCTTAAAAGACTAGGTTTTTACAGCATGGCAATTTAAAGTGCCTTCTCTAAGGATCACATTCTAGGTTTTAAGCTCCGTGAAGAAACTGAATGACAAACAACTGAGAAAGGGGTGATTCACCATCCCCAAGGCTGCTTATTTTCCATTTATGTGCCCTGCTGTCCTTTGCCTTGAATCTTCATGGCAGCTACAGAGGGAAAATGGCAAGGCTTAGAGGACAAGTGCTGGCTTTTTAGTATGGTGTTTGGGCTTTCTCTGATTTTATTTTTAATTAATTTAAATGAAGTGTCTCAATTTGAATACTTCCAAGTTGTATTACATTTTTCTATTTCTACTATCAAAAATTATGGAAGAGATTTCAATCCTTATTTTAGAAGGCACTTATTAACAGCATGAAAACTTCTGTTACTGAAACAAAATAGTCCAAGCAACACATTCACATTTTGAACACCTTCCTTTAATGCAGTTTCACATGTCTACAATGCTCAGCACGTCTTCTTGAAGAATTTTGTTAAAGAATACACCTAAAAATTTATTTCCAAGTTGCTTAAACAGAAATATTTTAATACAGTGATGCCAAAAAACAAACAGGATTTACTACCCAAAAGTAAAAAAGCAAAACAGCACTAAACTGCTTATATTTCCTTTTCCTAGTTAATGAAAACTCAACACCATACAAATCTAAGTATTCCATGAATTTTAACACTTTTGCTGCATGTACTGTAGCAGTAAAAGCTGTGTATGTATATGTTAAGAAACCCCAAACAAACGAAAAAAACATCTTTGCCTCAAAACCTTGGCTGCCCTACAAATACTATTAAAAAAGAGGCTACAGAATGTGCGCTGACATGCTGTCAGGACGACGCAGAGCCATCTACTGGTAGCACAGACTCTCAAGAAGCAACAAAAACAACTTTCTAAATACCACATGAGACCAGCAGGATTTCTTGCCACAGAGAGGGGTTTATTAGCAGCAATTCCCATCCTCCCGAGCTGCTAGTAATATTCTCCCTGTTACATTTCAAATGGATAACAGAGCTATGTATAAAATCCTTACGTGGTATCATTCCATCGGAAAAGTGGATTTTCAGACGAAAGTAAACAAAACAGCACATCTAAATCAGGTGACTTATATTGACAATGACTTTTGCTTTATACACTAATCCTATGAGACTAATGAGGAAAAAAGCTACCTGTACACATGTTTCATCTGGTAATGTGCTAGCAAACAAAGTTGGTGTATCTAGTGTATAAATTGGAAACTTTTCCAGGGAATGTATTACTGCAGCTGCCAAATCAGAAGCTTGCCCAGATCCTGGCTCTTCAATTAGTAAGAACCGTGGCCTGTAAGATGTTGGTTGGTCACGAGGATTTCTACAGTAATAAGTAGAAAACAAGTTTAAAAATGAGCGATGAATAGGAAAACAGACATTAGAGTTTTTTCCTATGCACTTTCTTTTGTAAATACTCTTCCTCTTCCACAAAATAATAAGCTGGTCCATGAACAGGAGAACTATCAAAGCCTACTTTCTCACTAATTGGTACTCTGCCTCTGCTAGAAATCCTGCCAGTCCCTAGCACATCTGCTACTCTTTTGGCTGGGTTAAGTAACAGCTCTTAAATCCCAGAGTGCGAATATCCAGCCAAAAACCCACACAACAGCTCAGCTTGATGGGTCAGGGGAGTGTACTCAGGACAGGAGTAACCTTCACACTTATGTCTGGCAAATATCAATCACCCCACACACACACTCTCAACTCCTTCATCTAGCATCCCTCACACCAAACAGTTTACACACTCAGCTCTCTTAAAAACAGAGCCACAACAGGGACAAATGTACCTGCTGAAAGTGCGGAATTCTGCCTTCTTGTAACCAGACATTTTATGAGTCAGCTTCTCTTCAGAGATTGATGGTGATTCCTCATCACTATCGATCACATAATTTCCTAAAATAAGATTTAAAGAGAAGAGAGGTTTGTTAACTTTCTTGTATAGTCTATCTCTCTCTTGCATTAATACACCTTCAAAATCGGTGCTGAAAACACTTCTCTTGTATTTCATCATTTGAATGCTATTTCCTGAAGAGTTCATTCTACCACAAATCAAAGGAGAATGCACAAGTCTCTACAAAGCTGTCCTATGTCCCATGAATTGCATCAGGTATTATCTCTCTGTTGACAAAAACTTGTGAGTTTTTCTCCTTAGAAAAAAGATGGTTAGGAACAACTTATGTAGCTCCCAGACACTTGAAAAACTGCTTTCTTTTTTTTCTCCTGCTTTAAGCATTTATTTAAAAATAGGTGCTAATAATTTAAAGCTTAGATTCCTCTCTGCAAGTGATAAATGTGATGTTAGCTCCTGTCAGAAACAGGGTCCTCCAGCAGAGAATGTGTAGTTCTCAACTGCTTTTGCATGTCACTCACAGCTCCCACCCAGCATCGTGCGCACACAAATTATAAAATTGCGCTGCTAGTACAGCTGAGTACATTTGTGTACGTTGATTGCACACATCACAAGCTTTTGCTCTGGCAGATTTTAAAACAAGTGGATGTAGATGTTCTACCTTGCTGTTGGTCCTTCTTTAGTGCAAGCTCAGCATGGGGAAATACTCTCTGCAAGGTTTGTAAAATCCTTTCCAGTGTGTCTTCTAACAGTGGCTTTGAAATAGCTGATAGTGCTTGCCCAGGGGAAGGCACAACCCTCCGTGAAGCTGGAACAGTCTTCTGCATGGCCATGGAAAAGTCATTTGCTTTTATTTTAATTGAATCCATGTTTATCTGCAGTCTCTGTCTGCTTTCATATAGCTGAGGATAGCGATGCCGCAAAGCACAGAGACCAGTTTCGGCACATAAGGCTTTAATATCAGCACCACAGTATCCTAATAAACAAAAGAAGAATCAAATGTTATGTCAATCTCAGACAAAACAGAATTCAAGGCCAGTACTTCTAAAGGGCAACACTGAATAACTTTGTATGAAGCCAAAAATTACCAGGCTAAGAGACAATTCAAAGAGTAACTGCACAGCAGAAAAGTTCTGTCACATGGCTCACAGCCTGATATCCTGCACTTAGGCAGCAGCCTGCTGCTCAAAACTTTGTTCCTGGGAAAGATGTTGCAAACCCATCCAATGTTCTAAGAGACAAAAAGAAAATTGAAAGCAGTGTCTAAATTTGCTCCCATGTCAAATGCCTCCTCACTGCCTCTCTCTGCCACAAGGTACAAGTGCTTCAGTACTGCCTGCTACAAGCTCAGGTTCCCTACGACTCAAGTCACATGTAGTAACCCACAGATTTCAAGCTCACCAACGCATTCTTCAGCCAGCTCTTCAAGTAAGTTGTCCGATGGCTTCGGCTTCCAGTCTCGTGTGTGAATTTTGAAAATTTCTTTTCTTGCCTGGAAACAGTTGCATTTCAGTTTGCCCTAAATTTTCTCTTAAATGAACAATGACAACACAAACCCACAAAATCCCTTATGCCAATACAAATACTTTTCTTATCTGCTAAACCTTTTAGTGTTTTAAATGTCAATTATTAATACACTGTCTGCTTCTTCAAGCTGGAAATTTAATAATTCTGAACTTGTTACATTAAACTCTTGCTGGGGCCTGCAGTAAAGTAAAAGGCATTTACATCTACCATAAAAGTGAGTTTTCCCAAGTGTGAGACCTAATGATTCTGAAGAAAAAGTCATTGTAAAATCCTTATCTGCAAACAGAGGTATTTTCATCAAAGAAAATTCTCTCAAATTAAGCAAAGTTTCATTAATCGTTTAGTACACAGATTAATTATGGCAGATTTCTAGAACTCTTTCACAGTAGAGAATCATGTATTAGATCTTTTTAATGGCACTTCATCTCCTGAGAGCAGATGAAAACTGGAGAAAAATATTTGTGCATTTTTACTAGCTTTTAATCCAGTAAGCCTTTTTATCCTTTTTCCAAGAAGTGATAAGAAATATCAGAGATAGCCAGTGAGAAAACACAAAAAGAGGTCTCCAGTTTTTCAAGCTATCTCCCCCCTTCAATATTTTTTAGTTTCTAAATACCCATTTTTATATTGCTTAACTATTGCCATTGAGCTAGAAGCTTCCCAAGCCCTGCACCTATGCAGTATCCTTCACATCTTTGTCCAAGTCCCTGTCAATAACCTCCAGTAAGATCCCAACATATTTAATTTGCTCCAGCATCAGCCTTGATCAAAGTTTTTGCTACCATGGAGGCATTCTCTCACCCTTTCTTTTACTTTCAAGATGCTAGAGGGGTAGTTTATAACTAATTAATATACCCATTCTTTCTTAAACATTTCAGTTACTATCAGCATCCTATTTTCTTCACCAGTAAAGAGAAACCAAAACTAAGTAGAGAATTAACTCTCTTGTTCAAATCAAGAAACTCTTGATACTTGTTGAAATCACCCTAATCATATATATTCAGAGCCAGGTCTGCCCTGTACACTACAATGCAATTTCTCCAATATCCTATTTTGTCTCCCTATAGCTTTTGTCCAAACTGTACAATACAGATGCAGACTTGCACTGCTGCACAATGCTGCCTTATTACAGGGATTTGTCACAGAGATGGACTTTGCCACAGAAGCGTAAGGTTGAGAGGTAGTTCTGACCTCTTTGTTTGGCAAACGGAAGCGGAATTCTCGTTCAAAGCGACCAGGTCTTCGCAAAGCAGGATCTATGGAATCCAGTCTGTTGGTGGCTCCTATCACCACAACCTCTCCTCTGCTGGTTAAGCCATCCATAAGTGCCAGAAGCGTCCCCACAACAGAGCTAACAGAAAAATTTGGTTTTCATTCACCAGCTTAGTAAACTTTCTTCAGTTACACATAACCTTGACCAATGATCGCTCAAACAGGACAAGTTTTTATTGATGAGATGCTGTTTAGCAAAAGACTCATTTTGAGTCATAATAAAATATAGATAAGGTAGCACAGACCTTTTGCTGATATCAAGCTCAGCAAACTGTTTTCAATTACTGTTTAAAAATCTCAGATTCATTTGCACAGAATTACTAATTTTCGGAAAAATGAATGTGTCACTTGAAGTTAAATAAATTGCCTTTTTTTTCACAAAGATCAAACAGCTTCTATGTAGATACAAGACATACCCTACCTATGAATTTGGTCTTGTTTATTGGACCGTACAGGAGCCAGAGCATCAATCTCGTCAAAGAAAATAATTGAAGGTCGCATCTGGTAGGCCTACAATGAAAACACAGGAATATTGTTATCAGAAAAACAGCCCTATTTGAAAGAGAAAAAGCATGAAAAACATCATGGTTGGAATGGCACTAACTAAATTTTTCAGATTCTGTTAACTGAGCTAACAGAGTAAACTGGCATGAGTAACAGAAGACAGCAGCCTGTATCAACTCAAGGAGACTGGGTGACAAGAAACAAACCACATCAGTAGTTTTTACATCTTCCTGGAAACCACAAGAACAGAGACAGGATTTAGCTAAGTTATAGGTTCTGGAAGCAACCCTCTGTTATCCGTTTAAATGACTGTGCTTTCAACCTGCATCTCTTTCCCTCAGATGTTAAGCCACCACCTCTTACTTCTTGAAACATTTTTTGTGACTTTTTGGGAGGTTGTTAGGTTTGTTGCTTTGGGGGAGAGGGGGGTGGTAGTGGTGGTACTTTGCAGAATTTTATTATTTCCTTTACTAACCTTTCCCAATACATCTCAAGATTTCAAACCCCTAAAACTTCACTGAAAAAGGAAACAGTGGCAATCCCATTTCAGTGAAAGGAGCTGACAAAACATATAGACCATAGAAATTTAATTCCAACTCAGACAGAACACATGCCAAATTTCAACCTTACCTGCTCAAATAATAAACGAAGCTGTCGTTCAGATTCTCCTATCCATTTACTCAGGCACTCAGCACCTTTTCTCATAAAAAAGGTTACTCTCATGTCACCTTGACTGCATTCATTAGCAAGTGCACGAGCAAGCAGTGTCTTTCCTGTCCCTGGAGGACCATAGAACAGACAGCCTCTGCAATTAAAAAAAAGTAAATTTTAAAAAGTCACATAAGAAAAAAACATCATGGAAAAGCACCTGTTATGAACCCCATCCTTAAAACACACAACTTTGCTCTCCTAAACAAAACACCTCATGGATAAGGTAGCAGTAACAGCTGAAGAATGAGAAAAGTCAAAAACATTCCTACACAGTTCTCCAAGGCAGCAAACAAAATCAGTAAAAAGGATAATGAGGAAATACAAAACCTTGATAAAAGCTTACAGCATCCCAAAAGGATACTTTCAAAACTTCTGACAATCCAGCACGGGTGGCTGGAGCCAAACAAGAACAAACCTCCAACACAGAATCTGAGACTAGGCTAACTTAGGAATCATCAGTTCATTTTTCAGTGATGCACTCCATATTCATTCTTGTTTTCACATAAGTCAAGGTTTCATAGTAAAACATTTGATTCTCCTTCAAAAAGCTTTGAGTTACTGGCATTGGCTTCCCTTTGCTGGTGATAAAGAAGTATTCTAAAGCTGGAAAGATATTCTGCATTTCTGCATTTATATCAACTACAAAAGCAAATACACTGCTGCTTCAAAAAAGAATTTCAATTAATAAAGAAGCAAAGCACAGAAATATTTTCTTTCCATTTTGAAATACTTTTAAAGTTACTGAAGGCAAAGAATTTTAGGCCCTAGTTCAATATGCTGTGACTGAGTTTTGTTGACCAAGAATATATAAAGCTAACAATTAAAGCACTGTTTTGTTTTGTTTTGTTTTGTTTTTTTGTAACACAGAAGCCACTTAGCTCTGTAAAAAAAATATTAAAATTAAAATTAAAAACCTTTTTTTTTTTTTTTTTTTTTTTTGGTTTTTTTTTTTTTTTTTTTGTAACACAGAAGCCACTTAGTTCTGCAAAAAGAGGACAGATTCTTATTTTAGCTCAAGTACAACAAACGCTGCAAGTTTCTAATTGCATATCCTATCAGTTGCAAAAGTGATACTTGAGAACTTAAAAAAAAAGAGTTGGTGGTAGAGACAAGTGGACTTTCAATAAACAAACATTTGACTCTGAGTAGAAAGTACTTCCTGCTTACAAACCAATCAAGTCCGCTTCCACACAGAGCTATAAAGAAAAAATCCCCAACTCTGCCTTTGAAAGGCAAGACACTTTGAAAGGATGGTCTCACCAGGCAGTAAATCTTTGGGCCTACACATATACTGGAGTCCACCAACTTTTTTTTTTAATTACATATTACTACTGTTGAAAAAAACCCCACTGCTGAGAATCTGGAAGCATGAAACATTGATGCCCCAGTTGAATTCTCCTGAAAATAGGTAAATTAGAACTTAAGAGTTTTAAACAGTGTCTGTTACCTTGGAGGTTCAATTTTCAATCTCTCAAAGATTTCGGGATAAAGCAATGGAAAAATGACCATCTCTTTTAAAGATGAAATGTGGTCAGAAAGACCACCCACACCATCAAACTGTACCTAAAGATGAAGTCAACAGAACACATTTTATATGTTAAAGAAAGCTGCAGCATTGATAAGGTTCCATGAGAAGCCAGATTGCTAGAGAGAAAACTGTAAACCCAGCTAGTTATAGATGGCCCACTACTGGAAGCTTTCATAAATACTGCAAATGTGTCACTGCCACAATGAATCAAAAATACTTACTGAACCATCTATTTGCATTTGCTCCACACCAGCCAGACTTCCTCCAGTTTTCATGGTATCCTTGTCAACTCCTGTTGAGGCACACTTCTGAAAGCTGACCAGAAGAGATCTGATTTGAATTGAGGAAAAAAAAGGTGCTTCCTAACTTACAATGCAGATAGAAGACTTTTGATTCCTCCCCTTCTCAAACACACTGACATCTTTCAAATAGGTTTAGCTTTTACCTTCAAAAAGTTACAGCCCAGGAGAATACTTATTTCAGTGGGTGTTGACATTATAAAGGCTGCCCATGACTCCTGGGCTTTCCTTAGGACTTTGGAATATGTGTGCCAGAAGAAACACGTCTGAAAGATGTCAGGCTGAAAACTCATTTGTTAGACTGCTATTAAATTAATATTTCTAGAACATTTGTTAAGTAACAAAATCTATTTCCTACTTATAACATTTTCTCCTATAGTGGTTTTCATTTTGAACAAACAATGGTAAAACACAGAAGCAGTGAAGTTTTACATCAAGAAAATACATCAAAGTGTGTATCTCTACATTTCCTCCCATTCCCACCTGGAAATCAAATTTCTTAGAAAAAAGTCAATTCTAAAAATCCAAATGTAGAGTCTCCAACCACAGTTTTTAATACCAACAGGTATGATTAAATATTGCTCCAATTTAGAAAGGGTACAAGATGAAGATGGCAACACTTTGTAGTTAGGCACATGCAAAGTCCTCCCAGGTACACTCCTCCCTCCCCTATTCTCTAATTTCATTAACCTCCTTAAATTTCTCTTCTTCTTCTGTATTTCAAAATCCTCATCATCATCAGAAGAGGAAAAGGAATCACTGCTGAGGACTCCATATCTCTGTCTGCAAACATTCAAACAAGTAAAAAATTAAAATGCACTCCAAGTAATACTAAAATTTAAGTCAGGACTATCTCAGAGATTACTTTGAAATCTACAAAGTTTTCAGATAATTGGAAATTTTATCTGATATCAAAGTACATTATGGGATTTTCCTTGTGACAAGAATATTTAATTTTTCTTAGGAAGGTAAAATGTATCACTAGTGTGCAAAGAAAATTCTTAATCAAGTTACTGCTTTTGTCCAGTCTCTCTCTCTCAGACACACAAATCGAGTTTCACTTAGCATTATGTAGCCACTCTGTGGAACATCAACATTTTAAACTTATTTAAAAATTTTACTTCAAAACCCCTTCCTTCCATAATTGTCTGCTTTCAATGTTACTAAACAAAATGTCCCTATCTAGCAAGGGAAGGCACTCTCTGCACTCTGTTTAAACAATCTGATACCCCTTTGTCATTGCTGCTGCAATTCATAAATTAGATTTTCATTTAATATTTTTCTGGTTTAAGGATGGTTTCATACAGAAGCATGAACTGATTCCAAAGAGACATCAGAATCAGCGTTTGAGCAATTAAAAAAATCCATTCAAACTTCCATACAGGCTCTCCCTCTAACTAAATCGTCTTTGGTTTTAAGAAAATAACTTTCATCTCTCAAGATTAAATAGTCTAAGGTTTTCAGAGGGAGATTCTGGCTTCAGTTATAGAACAAATTAATTTCAGCCACACAATCTCAGCCACAACACTCATCATCACCTTATCAATGACCAGAAATACTGCGTTTTCAAATAAGATCTGATGGCAAGTAAAAAGAATGGCCTGCCAGTGTTTCTTTTCTTTATACTCTCAGACAACCACAGTAATAATATTACTAATTATATTATTTGCCACCAGTCCAAAATCCTTTGAAAGCATTACTGAGTAGTTAAAGTAGTTAAGTAGTTAACATTAAAGTAAGCTCATGTGACAGCCCTATTGTGACAGAAAAACTATCACTTAACCATACACAAACCTTTTGTACCCTTTGCATGAATCTCTCTCTGAGACAGATGAAGATTGTCCTGAAGAATCTGTGTCATATCTTCTAGGTTCTGTTGAAAGCAAAGAATTTAGAACAATGTCACAAACAAGTTTAAGATAAAGCAGGACAGACAAAGAGGCAGAACACAGGATGTGTATCGCCCATCTCCAAGTTCAGGGAAAGTTTCAAGGCAGGCAGGGGTTAATCAATGCATAGTAGAAGTGAAAAAACACACACCTGATTTTTAACAAGAACTGTAAAACACTTGAGTAAGAATATAAAGTCTCTTTAATTACTATTCTTTCAAGGTTAGACAGGTCATTTTTTACTGGAAAACAATAAGCATCCCAAAAAGGAAAAATGAATAGAAGGTGCACAGGATACAGATGCTTAAGAAAAGTTACTGGCATAATGAAGGTAAGAAATTTAAAATTGAGTGTGTGCATGGATTTCCATTTAAAAAGTCCTGCTTCCATGCAAGAAATTAGCTCTTAAGAAAAACTGTGCCTAAAACCTACTTTCCAATCTATCTTCATAGCACTCAAAAAAGCAAAGCTTTTTTCCTTTTGCTTCACTTCCTTATGAAGAAATTACTGCACACAACATTAAACTCTTTAAGTACTGTTGAAAGTAATGGTATATTCAAAATGCCCTATACTACAAGTATACCCTCCTGTCCACAACCTTTTATCATGCACTTGTTTTGGAAAAACACTGGGGTTTGGGACCTTTTTGTCTGAATACCTTTAAGCTCTTTAACAGTACAGCCCTAAAATCCGTGGCTATGCCTTGTAATGTCAAGAGCAACACAGATTTTTTAATAGATGAAAAATACCCAGTAGTTCAGTCCATCTCAATTGCTTAAGAAAAAGCTTTTGGCTAGGGTATAGTCAAGGAATTTAGAACAGAAGTAGCTTACAATGCTACCTGGATTGACAGTTGCTTCTTCACCAGTTGTTTCCATATCTAGACTTTCCTAATTAAAAAACAGGAAAAATCACATGAACATGCAGAAAACATGTAAGCATATCTGGGCCCTTATAGTATCAATTTCAAGGCACTACATATATTTTTTTACATACATTTTACGTACATGCAAACGATTAAATTAACACACAGCAAGAGGGAATAGGAACACCACTTTGGAACCCAGGATTATTAACAAGGATTTCTACTCTAAAATAAGGTTTAGTAGCTGTGAAACTTAAATACTTAATTAGATACAAAACTGACTGTACCAATTAGCCACAGCTTAATGATCAAAGAGTGTGGTAAAACCCCAACAAATAAATTCTTAGCACAAAAAAAGTCATACTGGCATTTGAGAGATGATTTAGAAAGTACTATGGTCAATTCTGGTTGAAAAAAATCAGGAAGGAATTCATATCTGATCAAAAACAACTATGAAAGCAGCTATGGATATGTTAGAAAACAAAGTTCCTGGCATTCAAGAGGACAGTGGACTGACTTGATTTAATAGAGCAAACCCAAGACAAGGAAATATGATTGATTAGTGTCTATAATTTTAACATGAGTTCTGCTTCAGACAGGGGACTACTTGAGCTCACAGGCAAGGCTGGCACAAGAACAGACACACATAAAGCAGGTATCAGTAAATTCACTTTTTAGTAAGATTTGAATGAAAAGCCAAGCCCTGAGACAGCTATTTGTAAAAAGCTGGGGGTTTTATTTATCCATTCAAAAATCATAAGGCAATTCAGCAAGTACAGTATATTATATGCTTCAGCATATCACTGCTTTTTCATGTCTTCTGAAGAAGGTATTTCCTCCACCTTATAATGCAGCTGTGGCATGACTGTAATAGTAAAATGCTAAATTATAATTAGAGAGCATGAACAAAATATTAGTTTAGACTACACTATGCTTTGGAAAAAGCTTTTTTCAACTAAATTAAAATTATAAGTAAACAATTTCTTTACATGAAATGCCATTAATATAGAAAAACAGTAAATTATTTTGGTATCTACTTCTGTGTAGTGGAACACCCACAGTCTCCCCTTCTTTGCTGTCTAGGTGTCTTTTCCATGTCATCCCTTTTTCTTGCAAGACTGCCTCTGCAGTACTAAGATACAAAGTAGACTTGTAAGAGCAAAGACAGGTGAGTACAAAAAAACCCCACTGAAAACAACACAAGTAGTTAGCATGATATTTTAATATAGTTTGCACAAAGCAAGGGTCATCGACACTTCACCAAGTTTTTCAACACAAAAATTAGCTAAAATGTTCAGTTTTTTTATAGAGAGTATTTGCAAACATAAATTGTTTTCAGTTAATTTTTCCCTCTTGCTGAACACAGTACAAAAAGAATCTCATTTAGTAGAAAAAAAAAAAAAGAATTCTGAAGATCGTACGAAGATAACAAAAAGAAATTATGACAGTTTTTCACAGCACTTAAGTTGCTCAGCATGATAGCATTAAGTGATTTTTAGTTCACAGCCATCCTCAGACAACAGGTTGCTTAGTTTTCTCTTAACTGGAACTAAGGTCTCATGCTGATTTTCCATGAATATACACACTAGAAAAAATATCTCCCTGCTGATATACTTGGAAAACCTTTCAGAAAGCAATATCAATTTGGGCTTCAATTTGGGAAAAGAGAATTAAGTCACAGACACACAAGCAGAAATGCTAGGATTGCTCCACTTTGCCTGTATCCAACTTTCTGCCATTTCTTAACAGAACATAATAAAATTATTTGCAAGCATGAAAGAAAAGTTAATTAAACATGAAGGCAATTCTGGTACCAAGAAGATAAATTTAGAGGGCAAGGTAACATCTACTGAAAGTCACAACGTGAAGTGATCATTTCAGTTCACAAGAAACCAGCCCACATATAAAAGATGCTCTGGTGTGAAGACCTCTCTAGAAGTGGCAATCCCAAAAGGAAGACACCGGTGGCCAATTTAACCATTGTCTGTGTCCAAAATCTTTACACAAAAAGCACCTGACAAATACATCCTCCTGTGCACAGTCTGGGAATTGTAAACCTTAAGAGAAGCCACAAACAGGAGATGCTACCTGACCAGCTGCAGTGGAACGTTTATGGAATGTTTGTCAGGTTGCTTGGCAGTGCCTCCTCAAAGTTCCAAGCTTGATCATGCCCAACCCACAAGTCCCTGGTGGGACTTTACTGTGGCAGGCACCTGATGCCCAAAACTTGGCAATCACAGAATCATAGAAGCACCTGAGTAAGAAGGGACCTTTAGTGACCATCTAGTTCAACACCCCTGCCGTGGACAGGGACACCTTCCACTAGGCCGGGTTGCTCCCAGCCCCATTCAGCCAGGCCTCAACACTTCCACAGGGCATCCACAGGTTCTCTGGACAACCTTATGACCCCCACAACAAAGATTTATGGCATGTAGGGAGGTCTCAGCCCAACCTATGCATGTACCACATGCTGCCAGGAATAAAAACATCTTCTTCTGCCAGCAAAAGAAAGTCCCTAGCTAATAGTATGCCTAGCACAAAGGTTTGCTAGTAAGGCTCATTTTAGTAGCTCTGCATGATGAAAAAAAACCCCAACTTACTTTGTTCTAGGATTGCAAAACAAAATGTATAGTGGTGTAAAGCTTTGTTGAAGTCTACAGCTTCAAGAGACCTCTAAATCCCAATTTTCTTCAACCTTTAAGCAACCGGTATTACAGAAAACATAATATGAAGATGGTTTGATAGAATTATATAGTGGGTTGACCTTGGCTGGAAACCAGGTGCTCACCAAGCCACCAAGCTCTGAGTGACAGGACAGAGCAAATAAGATGGGGAACAACTAGTAGCTTGAGACAAGGAAAATGAACTCCATCTCAGCCAGACCCAATACAGTTACTTTCCATAAACACAAATTAATTCTGCTATTCACTTTTAATTATTTATTGATTAGTTTAATATTAACCATTCCATTATTTTTCCAAGGATTTTTTTTTTATTTCTTCTGTACAGTCGCTGGGTTTTGCCTCTGCATTTTTTTTTGTAAAGCAGTCAACACACATGGAGTTAGCATGATGTATAGCTACAAGAAGTTTTTGAAAATAGGACTGATAATAATTTATTAAGCTGTGTGGTGTTTTTAAGGAGATAAAGGACAAAAGAAAGGTAATGCAGACATACAGACAAGTATTGTGATAGGAAACAAAAAAAAACAGCTAGGGAGGTTACATGTCAAACTGGGCCAGTACAGTATTAAAAAAATTCCACATTTTATCTTTATTTGTTGTGAGGTTGAACTTATAAAATATGCATGTATGAATTAAAAGAATTATTAAGTCACAGGAAAAAAATGAATTAAAAATTTAAATTAATGTCTGATGTATTCTAGAACTAAACCAGTCACATTTCTGTGCAGTATTTTCTGAGGCATATTCACGTAGGAAAGCAGCTGAGACCCACTAGTGTCACTGAAATAAGCTGTAATATTAAAATATTGAATTGCCCTTGGCTAGAGTCACTAATATTAGTTAAAATATCAAATTCTGTTCTTTACAATTAGTGTTCGAAAATCTGGAATGATCCAGCAACAAGAAATCTTTATGAATTTAATTCTGCATTTGCTTCTTTGTGATTTCACATTTTTAAAAAACTCATGCGAAAGGCTGCATTAAGAAAACATCAGTGACTCATTCAGGAGATCAGAAACATCTGAGATTTCTTTTATAATGTTAATTCATCTCAGCTGTATGATTACCTTTTCAGGTCATTTTAAGGGGAGGGTTTTTTTCAGAAGATCCCCGTCTCATTTAGATATGGCAATAAGTGAACAGTTTGTGTTGAAGGAGATGCTAAATGTGAGGTAGCCAATCCCTCATTTGCTGTAGAAGAGTAATTAGATATTGTGAATAAGGTAGCACTTGCAGAACAGTTGTCAGATTAAGGAATCTGCGTACTGCCCAGAGAAATTCAAACTTCTCTTTCTCTATAAAATCCAAGACCATACTGGAATAATTTAAGTCATAAATGTAACAAATTGTCATTAATTCTGTTTTCCTCATTTTCTATACTCTATTTTAAATCCTCCCAGCTTGAGTTGTGGAATCTTAAGATTTCATTGTGGTAATTTAAAATTTCATAGACTTTAGATCATAAAGGAATTGCAGCTATCCACAGTCAGAAGTTGAGCTTTAAGATATCTGCTCTTCATCTAAACCAAGCTGACTGAGAGGACTCGTCCTTTCCTCTTTTAGTATTCTTGGAACTTGATTCTAGAGGACTAGTTAGACTACCGTCTAACTATAGAGGATAGTCTATAGTCATGAATTTCTATGAAATACCAGGTCCAAGGCATCCAAAATCAGTGAGTACTTCTGGCTATACTTCCTTTGTTTCCATCTAAAACATGGCATGAACGGATACACAAATACACTTTATTTCATATAACGCTTTATTGGGACTTTCTAGTTCCCTCATATGTTGAAACTGCTACATCTCTAAATTCAAAGTTTGTATCTTTACCAGATAGATACACGTTCCAATGTTTCCAACCCAAACATAGGTATTCACTAGGTACTCAACAGTTCATGGAATTGGTGTATAAACAAGATATAAGAAATTACACAGCCAACTGAGCAACTTCCCCCTGATGCTTGCTTTTTCTAACCATCTGGTCTACAGCACAATATTACTGTCACATACACTTTTTGTTCTCTATAAATTTCACTTTTATTTCCATATTAAAATATGGGTTTAAATAAATTATTTGATACAGATTAGTTGATAATCTGTGCCACTGCCAGGCACCACCTGCATTTATAAATCCCTGGTTGGTGCTTTGGTCACAGTAAAATCCTTCCTTCCTTTTATTACTCAGTAGAATTCAATTCTTAAAATATTACTGCTGGAAACATTGATTCCTGTGATTTTTAAAATTTAAATAGCAAGATAAATGTTTTTTCCAATAGCAATATTGACTGAAATTACAGATTGATTCTTGTCTTGCTTTCAGCAGGATCCAATCTCCAGCTCAGCTACTCACTTGCACAGACTTTACTCCCTACAGCATTTTAAATGTTCTAAATTTTACTTCAAATTTTCATTCTGTGTGCATTACCACCTGTGAGAAAAGGCACTTTCTTCATGCACTTGTTTTAATTTGTGTTAAGTAAAACTTTACTTCAAATTTTCATTCTGTGTGCATTACCACCTGTGAGAAAAGGCACTTTCTTCTTGCCTTCTTTCTTTTAATTTGTGTTAAGTCAAATCTCCTTAAATGTTCAGTTTAATGTTCAGTTGGTTCGCAGCTTTATAGAAGGGCACCCTGTAATTTGGGCAGCTATAAATAAAGTCTTTATCCATCAGTCTGATCCCTATTTTTTTATACATCGGTGCACTGAGTATTCTAGCAAGAACTTTTCCACCCAGCCAGCAAACCAAAGCACCACTGTGTAAGGGAGGTGTTAGGCTGGGGCCATCTACTGGTTGTATTGCTGAGCTTTCATTGACAAATTTGAAAAACTTCTTTACACATGTAATTCTATTGCAGTCATAAAAATAATAGCATATACTAACATATTAATCACCTAAGCATGTGATGTTTCTTGTGCAATGATTCTTTGCTTTTAAGATTAAATATTGTACGAAGTTAATATAGATCATCTATCAAAAGAAAAAATAATTTAATTTGCTTTCATAAACAAAATAAAAATTGGGGGAAAGGGACCTTCTACTTCCCAATAACACCTAAAAAGAAATTGAAGAAGAAAGTGTAAGATTTCATAATGAATTTGTATGTGTTGTTCCAAAACAGCAAAAATACTAAAATGCACAGTTTTTCAGGGATTAAAAAAGATCTGTCAATTTTATGATGTTCCTTAAAGATTCTTATTACAAATAAATTCAAACCAAAAAAATTTAGCAAATGAACAGAAGACTAAAGCCTTTTAAACTGGAAGTTCTAATAAATGAGCAACTACGAACCAAGAATACTCCAGACTGATTGAGTCTGGAGACCAAAAGTATATTTACATTATGATGCTGTTAAGTATGTATTTACTCATTTATTATATGATCATACCAATGATTATTTGTGTTGCAATTTGGTCTTATTTCTTATTTGAACTGTCTTCAGGAGCAAGAGAGAGCATTTTACAGATTTTACAAGTTTAGGTGAGACTCCCTGCACTTGTTAAATTGCTACACATATACATTAATGTATACACAGAGACAAAAATATATACACACTAACTCCCTATGCTAATGCCTATGCTTTTATAAATATATATTTACACATGTATATAGGTATGGAATACACATACATTCATTTATATCTATATATACATATGCACACATGCATGCACACCTGTATATCACATGTAACTTGTACTTTTATGCTCTCAGTTAAACAAAATCCTCTGCTGGCTCTTAGTTATACTGGGATTAAACACTATTCACATTTGCCCTAAGGAGATCCATCAGCAGGAGAGATTTCTAGCAGGAGCTCTAAGCAGCTAGTGATTTTATCAAGAAATGCAAAATGCAATTTAAAATGTATAAAAGGCAGATAAACTCTAAGAGGAAAGCGTAAACATGTTGCAGGTTTGGAGACAAGGCTACTGGAGCTAAAAGTGGGAAAAATACTGCCACCATCACAGACAGAACTGGTAGAAACACCTGCAAGAGAAAGAAAAAACTGGTTTAGGAATTAAATTGACCTACTGTGATTTTCCACCTCACTCATAAGAATAAAAATATGGTTTTTGCCACACTAGAGTACCATTTCTCATGCTGCTGCAAGCTCACCCAGCACAAGAGTCATTTGACCTCAAATAGCTACAAGATATGCATCTTTTCTAAAATACTTCAGGCTCGTTCTGGTGTCAAGGGGAAGAGATAGACCTGGTACAGCACCTGAAATCCATTTGTCCACATATTATGGGCTCCTCAAGGAAACTCAGGGCTGGGTGTTGTGCTGGTTTTGGTTGGATCAGAGTTAATTTTCTTCACAGTGGCTTGGTACGGAGCTGTGTTGTGGACTTGTGTTGAACACAGAGATGATAACAAAGATGATTTTGCTAGTACTGAGCAGAGCTTACACTCAGCAACCTGGTCCTGCTTTTGTTTATCATGGTAATTTCAAGCTCTTATCTACCTTCCTGTCAGTTTTTACTACAAAACTTATAAAATTTCTGCTCAATTAAACATTAATGCATAATAATATTTTTTACGTCCACCTGGTTCATGTCAAACACTAAGAAATTTCATTCTTGAGCAAGAAGTTGTCACAATCTCTTCTAAAGTGCAAACCTACGTCTTGTACTATATTAATACAGCTGTCCAAATAGAAGATCCTTCTAAGTTAGATTATGTGTCTTCTTGTCTCTTTGAGCTCAATGTATTAATGCCACAGCAAGATTGCTGTGGGTGCAATTTAGCATGAGCACAGGAGTCAAAGGAGGTAAAAGCCCATCAGCCTGCTCTGATACCACCCTGTTCTTCCCTGGACTGAAATAATGCTCAAATTAAAGCCTTTCACCAGATCTACCAGAACATCACTTGACCCTCCACCGCATCTCTGAGAGGAAAACTGTTCTGCCCTTTATCACTTGCCCTAAATTCAGCCCTTTGCAGACTTACCTTCGTCCTCCCATGTTTTACATTTTAACATGTACAAACAGTTGCCTTCTCAGATAGACACACTCCAACTAATACCGCCCGTCTTCACATACCTACAAGGGCTTCGCTGCCAAGTCGAAGCTCCCACTTTTCAGTTTTTCCAGCCTCTGGTATGTCCTCCCTCCCCTCCACAGCCTCCTCTCTCCAGGGCCCACGTGAAGATGCGCTTAGCGAAGCCCTTCGGACCACATGCAGGAAAACACCCACGTTTCGCCTTTTGCTCTCCCAGGAAGCGTGGGACATGGCAGCCCTCAGAGCCACCGCTCCACATGGGACAGCGCTCCACCTGGGACACGGCAGCCCTCAGAGCCACAGCTCCACATGGGACAGCGCTCCACCTGGGACACGGCAGCCCTCAGAGCCGCCGCTCCCCCTGGGACAGCGCTCCCTCAGCTTTCCCCTCGGCCACCAAAGGGCACTTGCGGGCCAAAACAAGCGCGCGGCGACGACGGCCCGGGCCATGAGAGGCGGCGGCGCTGATTGGTTGCGGCTCGGCGAGCAGGGCAGGGCCGGGCGGAACTGCCTTGCTGATTGGATGCGGCGGGGGCGGGGCGGAGCGATTGCTCTGATTGGCTGAGGCGCGGTGAAACTCGGGGCTGGCAGCCGTTGGCGCGCGGTTTGAAGATGGCGGCGGTGGGCCAGGACGCGCCGGACGGCGGCAGCAGCTCCGCCAGTTCGGCCCCGCCGGAGGCCCTGGAGGCCGTGGCCGCGGAATGGATGCTGGAATTCGCCTGCTCCTGCCTGTGCCGGCACTTCGCAGAGCAGAGCGGGGCGGAGTTCTGGCGGTGGAGGGACGTTGCGCAGGGTGAGGAGCGGCGGCGGTTCGGGGCTCTCCAGAGCCGCTCCGGGAGAGCGAATCCTGAGGGGCCTCGGGGGCGGCTGCCTCCCGCACTCCGGGCCGTGGGAGCGCTAAAGCGCTCGTAGCCCGTCGACCACCGTGGTCAGCAGCGCTGGGGGTGATGCTCAGCTCTTTCGGGGGCCTCAGGAGATCGCCGGGCTACCGGGGAGCCTGTGGGGCTTGGGTGGTATCGGCAGCACTCGCGCACGGTAGCAATGCAGCAGTGCTGGAAATATTTCAGAGAACTATGGTCTGGCAGACAGAGATGAGATGAAATGAAGTCTGGGTTTTGAATGGAAAAACATACATTTAAAATGAGAAATAAGCTTTAGAGCGAAAGTGGTTGACAACTAGAAGTAAATGTCTGCGTCTCAGATAAATTTGATGGATTTATGATGCTTTTTTCTGTAAGAAGCAGTTTTCCTGAGGATACCAGGTTAGAGCTTTGGGGGATATTTTGTCCGTGTACGTGTTTTTGACTCAGGTGAATGTAGTAGTAGGACTTATTTAAACTTCTGCAAAGAGTGGAATACACTGGCATGCAGAATTATTACTAAGATTGATATGGGATATGGTAAGAAATCTAATGATAACTTACTAAAGTACTTTGAATAGGGGGCTGCTAGATTAAATTATGTATGGTTCTTCTTGATGTGTGGCCTTTGGACTGCAACTCAGTAGGAGCATTGTACTGAAGTTTAGTGAAGGTGGGAAGCAGAGACACTGTCAGTGCAAAAGCAGATTGAACATATCTCCTGGAAAGACTGTGTATTAGTAGAAACTATTAATTAAGTTGTACAGAATTCAATGTCATGTGGAATAAGAAGTAATAGCAAATTTTGAACTTCTTCCTACTCTGTTCAGCAACAGAGGAAAGAATTTAGCACTCTAAGATTATAAAGTCAATATTGTAAAAGTCTTTGGGAAAAGCTAAGCACAGTCATAAGATTGTAATAGAGAAGCAGGTGTGTTTTTTTCATAGAAAAACAGAGCTGTTACTCTTGCAAGTGTCAAAGGGAGACCCTACAGAAATAATGATTGGCTGTCAACAAGAAAGTCAATTCAAACTGAAGCAAGTGCAGAAAGGTAGGAAGGCAGTGGTTCCAGATGATACCCAGCAGCTCCTTTGAGCCCCATCTATTCTGTGATTCTCTTTTCATTTTGAATGGCTCTGTATTATGCTGTGAAGATAAATTACTCTATCTAGCATATTAGCATAAGAAATTCACACTAACCTGAATGATGGGAATAAACTCATGATAGCTCCCATTTTAAAATATGTAATAATCCTTGTGACCTTCTAGCCTTGCAAGGAGGATTTCCCTTATAAATTTACATTTCTGAGTAAGCTTTCCATGTCACTTTTACTGCTTTAGTTCTGTAAGTTGCTATAGCAACATGTAAGTGTTACCAGTCTGCCTGTGGCTGGTGGTTTGTGGGCATTCCCTAGAAGTGTTCTTTGGAGCAGACAGCTGTCTTTTGTAGTACCCTACTTACCAAAAAAAAAACCCTATATTTAATACTATGGTCTTTGAATTGGATGAATATAAGCCTGTGATTAATTCTGCTGTTTCTTCAGAAAAGGATATATTCTTCTGGTCAAGCCCTTAAATATTATTTTAGTTGTTTTAGCAAGGAAGAATACTAATTAAGTGGGCTTCATGGGTTTCTTAAGGAATTAGAAATTTACTGAAATCTGGTAACACAGTGTTTAGTATATATCTAGCCACACTGTGGCAGTGCTGGAGCAAGACTGACTGAACTTTTCTCTTCTTTTCCAGCTCTTATTAGTGGCCTCTCCCAAATACCTCCACATCAGAAAAAAACGGTATATCTCTGCCAGCTTTTGATAAGAATTGCACAAGGAAAAAGCCTTGGTAAATACTCTGATTCTTTTTTTCACTTGTTTAAAAACAGTTGTATGAACTTCTACAGAAGTGTATTAGATATGCTTTCACATAGCTGTTACAATGCATAGCTATATATGCTTTTATCTACAGATATAGCTATATATAAATAAATTGAATGAATTTCGCATTTTGGACTGTCTTTATTACACATGTGGCTGAGCTGTCTGCAGGACTGGTGTTACTCTGTGCTGACTTACCTGCATGGAGTTTGAATGACCATATACTTCTTAAATTACCAGAGTTTTTTTGTCAGAGTAGTATCAACAAAAGAAATATACTGGAAAGGACTGACTAGCTCTTAGTGAGCAATACTTGCAAGTTTAAAACTCAGGATATGTGTTCTTTTCTGCACATTTAACTCTAGAGATTAAAGTAGGACAGACAGCAGGACTGAGAAGACAGATGAAAAGGATGACTGCCCATGTTTCCTACAGAAGACTGAAAGACTCTCAGCTAGCAGCAAGTCCTTGGGGCTCTTACTCACTACCATATCCTCTGGCTGCATTTACAACTTGTTGGTTTAGCCAAGATGATTTTGTTTGAGTTTCTGGAGGACTTTAACTTCTTTTTTTTTTCACTGTTTGATAAAACTCCTTGGAATTTAAAGAGTTCAGAAGCAGTCTTGAAAGCATAAGCATGGAAGAAAAAAGTGTATTCTAGCCTAGCAATGCCACAATGTCTTGTTTTTATACAATTAAATTCCCTATGTTGCTTATCATGTATTACGTCATCCTGATTTAGTTTAGCTTGGGAATCAAATTCTAATATTTAAAATAGTTCATCAAATTATTTAAAATACTATACAAATTATGTAATTTTTGTGCTAATGCTCTAAATTATATTATTGTATATAACATTTGAGAATATGACTTCATTGTGCTTTTTTATCTTATCAGTAGAGAATAATCTGTATGCTGAGGAAGACTGCATATGTGTAGTAGGTATTACATCAGGTGTAGCTGCACAGTGTACATGGAAAGCTAATATATGGCAGCTTTCCTATTTTTCTAGTTATTAAAATATTTGATCTGCACTGATCACAGAGTAGGCTGTTTCAGCTCTCTAAGAGCTAAACACTGTTTTTACATTAAAATATACAGTATCAAGTTTCATGTTACTTGATAGAGAAAATAATTAGAGAAACACGTTTTTGTTTTAGTTATGTGTATATATGCACATAATTCTGTTTGAAATGTCACTGTTTGACATTGTAGTGGATATAAAATAATTTTTATCTCTTCAGTATTGTGTAAATTGGTTACTTTCTGTCTGAAAAATACTTAATAAAAGGAGTAAGTTATTGAGAGAGATTCTGCTGATACCATAAAATGAAGGCATAAGTGAGGCTGTAGTTCAGTGAACATCTTGAATTAAGCTGGCAGTGCCATGGGAAAAAGCATTTGCGTGCCTGCCAGCTCCTCCTGCATCTGTTACATTGGCACACTCACTTGTGCAGGTGCGCAATGGCCAAACTGGGAAACTGCTTGAGAGTGTTAAGGGGATGGATATTTGGCTAGGCTAGATTTCTGCCAGAACTGGTCACTGATCCTTTGCTGGGAGTTTGCACAAACCTTGGTGTTGGCACAGCAGTACACTGGCATGGGGAGCTGCTTCTGCTTTTTAAGTGACACTCCTGTGTAGACCTGTTTGAGTTTCCCTCTCAGTTTAAGCACTTCAAATACAACAAAGTTAAGACATGGAAATAGACTCAGGAAGAAAAAAACAAACTACTTAGCATGGTGATTATATTACAAAATTAATAGTATCAATATCAAACATTGTAAAATCTCATGCTAAGTTTAATGTATTATTGATGCCAGACCAAATACCTAATTGCAAGTGGCATTTTAAGTGAACAATGATTAGCTGACATAACCCCTGAAAATGCAGCAGTAATGTTACTAGCAAGGGTAGGAAGAACCAGTCTCTGAAATGAAGACAGTTGCTTCACATTTCTTAAACACACCTAAAAATTGAGGAAAAAGGAATTGAAATTGTATAGTACATGTTACTTTACTGCATACTGTAATCTATTGCTTTACTGCTTACTGTAATCTATTTAACTTTATCCTTTAATTTTTATAAGTACTTTGGTTTTTTCCCTCTCTAAGGATTACAGCTTGAAAATGATCAAAGAATTTCACCTTTGGAATCTGCTCTGTCTTTCTGGACTTTACTTGAAAGGGAAGAAATTAAACTGGAAAAACTTCATGAACAAATTCGTCGCTTGATTCAAATTCAGGTCTGTGTGACTTAATTCTTCAGGATGCTACCTACTCATTGGGAATGAGTAGCTGGAAATATGTCTAGCAGGAAGGGACCTGGGGGTGCTGATCAACAGCAGCTAAACAAGAGCCAGCATGTGTACAGGTGGCCAAGAAGGCCAGTGGCATCCTGGCTTGTATCCAGAACACTGTGGCCATCAGGACCAGGGCAGGGATTGTCCCCTGTGCTCAGCACTGCTGAGGCCACACCTTGAATCCTGTGTTCAGTTCTGGGCCCCTTAGGACGAGAAAGACTGAGGTGCTGGAGAGTGTCCAGAGAAGAGCAGTGGAGCTGGTGAAGGGTCTGGAGCACAAATGTTACTAGGAGAAGCTGAGGGAGCTGGGAGTGTTTAGCCTGGAGGAAAGGAGACTCAGGGCGGCCCCTGTCACTCTCTACAACTGTCTGAAAGGAGGTTGTAGCCAGGTGGGGGTTGGTCTCTCCTCCCAGGTGACTAGTGACAGGATGAGAGGAAATGGCCCCAGGTTGTGCCAGGGGAGGTTTAGGTTTTTCACACAAAGGGTTGCCCAGCATTGGTGCAGACTGCCCAGGGAAGTGCTGGAGATGCTATCCTTGGAAGTGTTTTAAAAAAAAACCACGGATATGGCACTTGAGGATATGGATTAATGGTGAGCATGGTAGTGTGTGCTAGGTTGATGGTTGGACTTGATGACCTTAAAGGTCTTTTCCAACCTTAAAAATTCTATTATATCCTACTAAAACAGAGCCCTTTTTACAAAAATCTTGGGCTGTTAGCAGACTGAACTGAATTTTCAGTTGTAATACAGAGTAAATACATCTGTACAGGGGACCTTTTTTCTATCTCATATGGGTCCTGTTTGTACCAGTTAAAATTTTTTCAAAAGCTGCCAATCTGAAAAAGATACCAATTGAAATAAATTTCAAAACTAATTTCAGAACTAACTGTTAGAAGTAGATATGTGTCAGTAACTCTTAAATATAAAATCATCTGAATTTTTGAAGTCTTAGAAAACTGTAGAATTGTGAATTCTCTTGCTTTTTCTGAATCTCAGGTGGAAAGTATTTAATAATATATTTTAATTGTATTTCTTGTAGATTGTAGCAGTCTATATGGAAAACAGATATTTCAAGGAAGCTGCTGAAGTTCTTGAAAGGCTGTTCACAGACTCTGAATCAGATAAGGTAGTAACTTGTTTAAATTGCCTTAGCAGCTCTTGACTTTCAGAGGATAAAGAGGGGAGTTGGTTGCGAAGCTAGCAAATCCTACCTGCATAACTTCAATCTCATTATTGTCTGTGCAGTCACTTTCATACCTATGTCATTTCAAAATACAAAAGGAAATTTGTGGCCACGAGATTGATAGACATACTGGATGATTTTTGTGGGAGTAAAATGCTTTTTGCAGCAGTTGTCCTTCATCCCCTCTTCCACTTCATATGAGGAGTGAGACGGCACTACAAATTCTGGGAATTTGATAGTGCTGACTGCTAATAGCCAATTTGCTGATTTCTGTTGTAGTGGACTTTGTTTGTCACCTCTAATTAGTGTTCTATGTACCAAAGCATCCCAGGGAAGAAAAACTCATTCACTTCTGTAGTATAGACTGAATGCTATTATGCCTCTGACTGCAAAAGACAACATCTGTGTTAGGCCACCTCCTGGTTTGAAGTTGACTGCATCATTCAGCAAGTTGCAAGTTTGAGTGAATATCACTCTAATATAATAGTGCACACACTTGAATTTGCTGGAGTGGAGAAAAGAGCAACAGAAGAACTGTAGGTGAAAAGAAGTTAAAAATGCTTCCTATATCTTCAACTGGTATATTAGGACACATGTTCTGTGCAAGTAGTAGCCTGTGTATAACTTAGTGTTGAGATACACTTCCATTCAGAGCAATTGGATGTTTGGAAAGTGTAGATTGTGGTAATAGTACTCAAATTCATAAATAAAAATGCAGCCTATACACAGAAGATAATTCTCTGGCTGTATTGGCTGCTGTAAAATTCAGAGGGATTGGCAGACAAAATGTGAATTTCTAATTATCAGTATTGATGTATCCTTAATGTTGCTGTACTAAGTTATCCTTCTGAACGCTGTACACCCTTTCCAATGGCAGTCTTTCTGAGGCAGCAAATGGGAAGAGAGAACCGAGTAATGGGTGGCTTTTTCTGAGTGTTTTTCCTCCACTGACAATCCTGCTTCCAGTGTTATTCATAAAGGAAATGAAAATGTAAATCTCTGGTCAGTTGCACTTTACCATTTACTGAGCAATAAGGTAAATACCTGGTGCTATATCTAGTTGACTCTAGAACTGTTTCAAACTGCAGCATGAAGTTGTATAGGGATAGTCAGAAAACTGTATAATCATCATGTTTAGCTTTCTGTGTTTCCTGTTTAGCATAGATACCAAGTTTGCTGCAGGATTCCTGTTGTATAAAGCTGTGCTTTTCTTAGCCTTTAAGGGTGAAGCTGACAACCATAATTAAAACAAAGGATCCATATGTTCCTCTTCTCCAAAGCTTCAGTTACAGTCTTTTGATAAGTAAAATCAAGTCCTACATTGAACTTTTCATGAAAGAAAATGAAACTAACTTCTTAGTACAGGTATGTTGAAAGTATTTTAAAACTTTTGAAAAAATTTACCTGATACAATTAAATAGATTTATCCTTCCAAGGGAGTTGTTTAGGCAATATTCAGTTACTGTATTAGATGAAAAGGAAACTTTGGATTGTCTTATTTTCAACCTTTTTGTTTTAGTTAATATGTCTTGGAGAAAGTTAGTAGGAAAGAGACTCCTCTTAATTATCTTCTATGAATGTTTTTTCCACAACTGTTTTGATTAGAAAAATAGTTAGGACAATAGTGTAGTTAAAACAAGATCTGTTTAAGATATGCAGTTCTGATATGGCACTCCGTAAAAATGTAGCTTTATATTTAATGCTTATTTTATTTAAGCCAACATGACTTCCCATACTAAAAATAAAAAAAATCAAGATCTGTTAATTTGGATAAAAGCTTTAGGAATGTCAGGGGAATTAGGAGATAGAAAACTATTATTGCTGTTTTCCTGTAAATACAAATGTTCCTTACAAACAGTCTTACTCAAAAGTGATTTAAAATTGGCAAGAACAACATTCCTTCTTCAGTTCATCTTCAGGAGGATTGTAAAGAATTTCTCTTATGTTTACTTCGTATAAAAGAATATTGAATTATTCAATTACAAAAGCACAGTCATCTAAAGGTAATAAGAAGCAAATTTTAAATAAACAATCCTGAAGTTCCTCTGTGTTTTTCATTTTCTTACCAGAGAAATTGGACAACTTATTAAATACACTCTAAGTATAATACAAGGAATACTTTTTAATGGTTTCACTTGAATGTCAGTTTTCAAGTTTATTTTTCAAGGCTCTTTCTTTGAGTCTAAGAGGAAGTGGAGGCTTGGAGGTGTCAGAGAAGGCCCAGAATTCCATACTAACAAGCCTAAGGCTGTCACTGCCTGCATCCCCAATGCCTGCACGTTTGTCCTACTGTCTGCACCCACACTGCAAATATTACTTTGAACAGAGTTATTCTGGCACACGGAGGAGACAGCTTTGTGAGGAATTCCCACTTCTGTGCAGCACACAGTTTCCCAGCAGTGCACTCTGTCTTCTCTGGAGAAGAACATTCTAGCTTTAACTGCTAGTTTCTCTTTCTTCTAGTGCCAGATGTAGAAGTATAATCATAGAATAGTTTGGATTGAAAGGAGTCTTTAAAGACTCCACTTGCAATAAGCAGGGACATCTTTAATTAGATCAGGTTGTTTAGAGCCCTGTTCAACCCGGCCTTGAAGGTTTTCAGGGATCAGACATCAACCACCTTGCTGCGCAGCATATTCCACGTTTTGCCACTCTCATCATAAACAAAACAAAGTTCTTCCTTATATCTAGTCCAAATCTACCCTCTTTTAATTTAAAACTATTAACTCTTGTCCTACCTCTACAGGCCCTGGTAAGAAGTTTGTCCCACCTTTATTCAGTGTAGGAGGCCCCTTTTAGGTACTCTATAAGGAGTAATGAATTACTACTTCCTTCTCTTGGCAATGAAGGAGAAATAATCTTAGTTTGTGGCTAGCAGTTTAAGCAGGATGTTAGAAATGTTTTTTGCCAGTGCAAAAAAGGTTATATTACAAGCCTCAGGTCTGCTTAGACATGTCTTTTGAACATATTACATGTGTGCTTTGTCCTGCCATGTGCTACAGAACTAGATAAACTTGACACCTGTCAGTTTTAGTTTCTATCCTAGTTATAAAAACCAGACTTTGGAGTACTTTCATAGTATTTGTAGTCTTAGTTAAGTTCTGCAATTTACTTAACACATTTTTAAGTTCACTCATTATGCAACTATTTGTTGTATTTCTTTGTGTCCATATAAAAATCAATTGCAGCTATGACTAAAATTTCTCCAAGTTATTAGTTGATAAAGATCTTTATGGATGTCAACTTAACATGCTAAACTTGTTTTGAAACTACTTACTTTAATGTTAATACCTCTGAAAGCACTGCTAGTTCTAATAAAAAGTATACATATTAATCTTAGTGCAAACTCCTATCTGGGTACTGCCTGGCTTTAATTTTAAGATATCATTTACATTTCTCACAGGAAGCCACAAAACATGTGGCATCCAAAGGGTTGGGAGCAACAGCGTTGCAAAACAGACCTGTGGAAGTCATTGAAAATGGCAAAAGTGATTTGGAGACAAAACAAAGGTTTGTATTAAGAATTATACTGCTAAGGGATGTGCTTGGACAGTAACGTGAAACTTGTAGATCAAAGAGCAGGTAAAAGAGGGGGGGATGTTAAATTCCAAACTGCTGTCCAATAGAGAATTACTACAGGCACATTCCCTATTTTCTTTAAATTTGTGTTCTTCTGTGGTTGTTACTTTTGGCATTTACATGAAAAAGCTTGTCATTAAGTTTAATTATTTGTGAAGTTGCACAATTTGCAGTTTAAACATCTGTTAGTCTATAATAATATAAGCACAGAAAATACTTTGCTTTTTTAATGCTTGATTGAACTCCTTTTAGATCTAATTTCAGGCTATAGGTCATCTCAAGAAGAAAAAGAATAAGGAAATGGGATCAGTCTTGCAGTTTTCCTACAGCTGATCCCTTTATGATACTAGTGTGAAGGGAAATAGTTATGTTGCTTCCTGATTCTGACAGTGCAAACCTTCAGAACAATTACATGATTATTTTGGAAAATGCTAGTATTCTAGGTTTATCTCCACTTGTTCAGGGAGAATAAATTTAAATTGCTGACTTTAGCTGGGATAGAGTCTGTATTTCTTCATTTTTTTTACTTGGAATACTTGGCATCGTTTAATTAAGAAAACTGATGCAGACAATATAGAGGAAGACAAGTCATAAGATTTTTTTGTTTTTCTGGAAGGGCAGCTCCTGACACATCTGAGAGATATGATGAAAGACTCGTTCAAAAAAACCTATGGAAATAATTCGTAATGAAAAAATAGAAGCACAAAATGCTTCTTTCTTCAACTTAAATATCTTGGGAACAGGCTACCCAAGGAAGTGGTCACATTACCAAACCTGACAGTTCAAGAAGCATTTGTACAGTGGTCTCAGGCACATGGTGTGACTCCTGGGGATGTCTGTGCAGGGCTGAAAGCTGAACTCAATGATCCTTGTGAGTCCCTTCCAACTCAGCAGATTCTGTATTTCTCCTCCAGGTATAGGGAGGCAAGGTTAAGAGGGTGAATGCATTGATGCAGTTACTGATTTTATGCCACTCCTTCTGTAGAGAAGTTTTAAAATTTTCTTTTATTTAAATATTGTTGAATCGTATAAACAGCAAGTTGCTGCTTAGGAAACAATCTTTTTGTCTTTTCTTTTTAAGATTGGTGAAAGAGAAACAGTGTATCACAAGTTTGTCATCTGGAGACATAAAAAAACTCATAGCAAGGTAAAAAATTTTGGTTTTATTACTCTGGTCACAGACTTTTTATCAAGTTCTTTGTATTTTTACTAAAGATCTGTGTTCTTTGCAGGAAACGTTCAGGACAGAAGCTCAAAGACAGCAGAGTTCTTCAGAGTGAGTATTAGTTTATTTTTACATATTCAAAACAGTCATGTCAATCACTTATTTCTAACCGCTATCCCATGCGATTGTATTAATGCAGTTGTGGTGGATAAAAACACTCCAAGCTGTGTATGGTTTCTGCACAAACGCAAATTTGGTGGTTGCCATATTTAGGAAGCTGGGAAGGGGCTTAAGGTTCTCTAGCAATTAATTCTGCAAAATCATTCACTATTTTCTGGTTTGCTTGGTTGGTTTACAGGAGTTATGGTATTCTGTGCAAAAGAAAGCACAGAGGAGTTACTGAAATTCATTTCTTTCTGAATTTTGTGCTAGATAACTTAATTGGGAAGGAACTAAAGAAGTTAGCTGATTGGAAAAACAAATTGCACTGTAAATGTACAAAGTCAGGATGTTTGTGTGATTTCCTGGTATTACTTCTTAAAAGCCTAACACAGATAATACAATAGTTATAAGTAAGTTCTTAAGACCATTAGCACCCTCTTACCACAGTGAGATGATGTTATAGTTCCTGCATGTGGCCATGTTGTACATGGAAGGACAAACACTTAAGATGCCTTGAATGCTTGCCACAGTTAAAACCTGATACATCAACTTGGAAATGATGGAATTTGTGTACAAAGGATCATAGCTCTGATTGGTTGCTACTTCCAATTCTAAGTAAAAGGAGAGTAGTGCATATAGTAAAAATGTTTTTACCAAAATGAAATGTTTTATTATTATGTACCAATTTTTACCTGTATTTAAAATATAATTCTTCTGTAAGCTCTATTGTATAGAAATTGTGGTGGGTTTTTGGAATAGCCTATTTTTTGAAACCCTTGGACTATGGCAAGATTCATTTGTATTCATTTATAAAAATATATGTAAAGAGACACTAAAATTTTCCCAGTCTGTCAAAGCATATCAAACTAATGTACATTCTTGTCAGGTGTAAATGGTAAAATGCAAAACTGCTGCCTTGATGTTGACTCCTCATTGTTTTGGATTTATATTGACTGTCTTCTAGGTCTTAACGACATGCAAAATGTGGAAAACAATGGAGTTTCTTTTGCATGTAGCCGAAAAAGACAGGTTTGTACCTATTCTCTCTTCTAAATGGAGATAAAATGAATCTGTGTCCACAGAATATTTTTCTCAGCTTTAATCTAATTTTTAAATCTAGTGCTTAGATTTAAGATTCTGTTGATTATTCGAGTGCTACAGTTCCTGAAATTGTTACAGTCCCTTTCTTTTTAAAGACAGGAAATATAACATATTTTTACTGTCTGAAATATTGTTGTTGCTAATGCTTCCAAGGCTTTTATTTGTTGACATACACCATTACCAAAGCTTAGTGTGAAATAAATAATTCTCTCCACAGTTTGAATTAAAGAATTCAGGATGTCATTTGCCTGTGAAAATTTTGGGCAATTATCAGAGTTTTCCAGCATAGAAAGTTAAGATTTAGCAATTTTATAATTCAATACTTTTTTTATGTGATGTAAAAACATATTTACTTAGGAAACTACTCTAGTTTTTATAAACCAAATGGTTGTTTCTTTTTATAATGCTACATTTCAAATGGTCATTTGTGCACTCTTCATGGGTAAGCCTACTTCACTGAGTTACACTAAAATAACGCTACTGTGTTCACTGATGCTAGAATTCCCATTGGTGGGGCGTGCAGAAGTGTGTGCCTTAATAGAATGCAATTTGAAGCTGATTTGATGTTGGGGTGTTTCAAGCTGATTTTTTTTATTATAGCCAATTTTCCTCCATAAGTGTTCAGCATTTTATCCTAATTGAAGAAATTAACATTAAATATATGTATTGCTGTTGTTGGATTCCTCTTCATAATATCTCTTAGGAAGCAATGTGGAGTCTTTCTGTTTAGCTAATAGTGCAAGTTATCATCATATATCCATTTTGATATATGATGTGAGCTGTTTCATTTTGAAATTTCATTTTTCATATAACAGGGAAGACCAAATCTGCTTATTTTGTTTTTTCTAGAGGAGAGTTGTACTTACTCCTATTTCTTTAAGCATTCTTACTGAAGTTATGTACTTATTAAATCTTCAGTTACATGCTGTCCTCAAATAGGTCAAAGTCTTAATGAGACCTCATCTATCCTTGAGGTTTAAGCCTCTATAAGTTTTTCACTTTCTCACAAATCTCAGGAATGGTTAGATCACTGACAATCTCTTTAAAAGCTGCAGATAAAACCAGTGCCCTAAAAAAAATATATATATATAGGCATCACTTACTGGATTTGCTTTTTGCCTTTAAAGACAAAATTACTTTATTCCAGCATATACTTGGATAGGTACCTTGTTAGCCAGTTGCTGTTAAGCATGAACACTTCTATCAAGCTTGTTTTCAACATCAAGAATTAAACTATTTGGACCACAATGACACAGAGCTAATGAAAGCTTTATAGTCACATAATTTTATGCTGAGCTAGTCTGTTACGGGGTCACCTACAAGCACTGTGTCTAGGTCTAGGGCTTACACACACATCTTGTTAGAAAAAAATAGGAGTTGTTTGCTTAATTATGTTGTTATAGTTCAACCTTAATTGACATATAAAGACTAAATTTGTGGAGAACTGCATCTGACAGGGGCATTGAAAATTTTAAAAGAGTTTAAATGAAACTTAAGATTCAGAACTGTGTTTCTTTCGACACTTAGAAAAGTTGTAGGCATCTGCTCCCTCTGTTATATTTATGCCTTACTCCCTACCACTAAGACCTCATAAATGTTTTATAGAAAGCAATGATAATTGGCCTTTTAAACAATAAATCTGCTCCTCTACTTAATCATCTGGGTTATAAAATTGTCCACATGCATGAAAGAATGCAATGAATGTCAGAGCTGTTGACTTCTAGAACTTCCTTTTCCATGTAGTCCCTCATTCAATGTTGGCATTGTTTGCTCTTGTTTTGTAAATGGCATTTCATTGCAATGGTTCAGTGCCCATTTTCAGCCTTTCATTTCAGTGTTTTCAGTTAGCTGCATAGAACAATCTGCAGTGCTATTGAAAGGACACATACTTTATTTTCTCATTCCTAAATTAGGGGATGCAAGTGTCACAGAATTTAGGGAACTGTTTGTACTCAAATTTATATCCAGTAATTATATGGCAAGTCCTTTGAGTTGTCTAAAATCTGGATCATACTTGATTTAAATTAAACAATGGGTCTTAAAATCTGAGTGTTCAGAATTTTGTCAGACTTTTATGGAAAAAAAAAATCCATATATTTAAAGCTGAAGGAGAAAACTCAGAGCAGAGTCCCATAATGCATAAAGAAAAACAGGTTACTAGAGCAGAACTGACTCAAAAGAATAACAGTATCTTCAGATTTGTGAGGGAATGTCTCCACATTCTGCCTGGCAAACTCAAGCTTGCTCTGCTGGTGTTCAGAGCTGGCCAGATGTCACGCTGCTGTGGACCAGGCGCTGTGCTGATGTGAGCTCAAGCGTAGTGCTGCATTATGTCCAGGCTTTCAACCAGTCTTGTAATGTGCAAAGCTGGAATCTACATAAATTCTGTCCCAGAGGGGACAGAGAGCTTGTCAGCGAGTGGGGCAGGGGGAAAGTTATTGCCCTGTTCTGTTCCTCAGTGAAAAGAAAATGAGTCAGTCCCTGATTTACCTGTAAAGCAGGCCCTCATTTATACAAAAAAAGGGAAGAAATTTATGTTTTAAAAAAGCTCAATGTGAGCAATTAAAAATCAAAACAAGCTAACAACAACAACCCTTTTAACAGCAAATGTAATTAATCATTGCAAGTAACAAGAGTTGTGATTGTCTCTTTTGATTAAAGTATTTGAATTATCTGGTGCTGTAGGTCAAGCATAACTGTGTTACTTGAATAAAGATTTTATTTAGTAACGTTTTCTGGCATGCTCTGAAATGAGGTGAACTACATTATTCCAATGGAATCTCTGCCCTTTTAATAATAGTAGAAAAAAAAGCTATTCACTGCTAATGTTGCAAAAGATCAGTGGAACAGGAAGAATTAGAAAAAGGAAGTATTTTTGATAAAGGGTAAACTACTTTAGAGAAGTTTTAGGTTCCTAACTGTTTAGCAATACAGTTGAACTACTATTACTTGTAATTCTTTCACTGCTTAGTGAGGTTTGTCAGTGATCAGAGTTTACTGAAGAGGCCCTGATACTTGCATTAAGCTGGAATAAATCCACTTAGCACTTAAAATTGTCACCTGGCCAGAGACTGTACTGATGATGCTTACAAGAGCAGAATCTTTTAAAGATCCCAGAAGGCTTCCACATCATTAAGAAATAAATTTATTTTTCTTCCTATTTGCATAGACATGGGTTCTTGTGCCACTGACAAGGCTAGGTGTTCCTGCTGCTCATCCTCCCTTTGTGCACAAGCAGGAGGGTATGCATTTCTGTAATGGCAGCAGCCATAAAATTTACATTTCCATTGGGTACATTATTTTCAGAGTTAAGTCATGTTTGTTCCACTGTAATTCACGTTTCCTGGCACTTATCAGATCTACTAGCTGGCTTTAAGTTGAGGCTATTTCTTTGCACCTGCATTTCCCTTTCTGCCCAGTTCTTTACAATTTTGAAGGTTTCAGTTGTAAAGGTGAGCCATAACATGTTTCTCTAATGTTCCCTATTGCTCTGTAGCCAACACCATTTATCCATTTGATAGTTGGAAGTGATCTGTTACTTACAAGAGAAAGTTTTATACATACTCTTGGAAACCAACCTTTCTTTTATTCCACCAAGCTATAAATTTTAGGCCATCAGATTCAGCCATTTACAATTCTTTTTGCTCTTGTAATGTTCTATAAACATTTTTTACTTTCTATCCTGTTACTCCAATTAACCCAAGGCTTTATTAACACAGATGCCCTACGGGAGCCCCCATAAAGCCCTACCGGTTCAATTACAAATTTATCATTTATTTCTAGTTTCAAGATACGGTGCTCAAAAAACCCCTCTGACATCTGTATTCTAATAACTAGAGAGCTGTTTGAAAACTTGCTTTTATGTTTGCTATAAGCACTCACATTAATATCTTTCTCTGTTCATATATCTGGTATTTTTCTTGCCCTAGAAATGGACTGAAAAAGAAGACTTGGAGCTGAAATCGGGAGTGAAGGCGTTTGGAGTGGGTAACTGGGCTAAAATTTTAGTCCATGGTAACTTCAACAACCGAACAAGTGTCATGTTGAAAGACCGGTGGAGAACATTGAGCAAGATCAAACAAAGCTGATTTGACTACAGGAACCAACTCTTCTTGACCTTTCCCTACATGAGGACCTACTGTACCTTTCAGAATAACATCTTATTTTAGTCTCAGAGTGTCCAGCAGTGCTGCTGTCCTAAAACATGAAACAGAATAATAACAGGTATAAAACATTTGTGTAAGCTCACCTGCTCTGCTAATGATGACTTAAATGTAAAGTCTGGCCTTTTTTGCGACATGCAATAATAGATAACCTAGATTCTGAAATGTGAAAATGCTTGCAGTGATTTAAGAAATGTCTGTTATGTAAATAGGAGTATTAGATCTGACTGGCAACATCTTTAGTTTGATAGAGGCTAATAAAAAGTCAGGTGTCCTGTATTTTTAAAGGGCTGTATCTCTTTTTAGATTGACCTTTTCATAATTTTACTTCCTGCCATATAACCCATTCTAATTAGTTTTGCTTCACTTTCAAATTAAGATCCAACTTGACATTTCTGTAAGTTTTACAAAAGATATGTATGTATTAGTATTGCTAATTTTATGAGATGATGGTTTCTTGGGGTTTTTTCTGCAGTTAAAAAGTGTAAATTCATATAATGTTGTATTTTTAAATAACAAAGGGACTGGTTAATTTTTTACATGGAAAGGAACACTATTGTACTAGCACTTAGCAACTCTTGGTTAGCTTGTGCCACCTACCTTGTCTTGACAAGTGACTTCTTCCAGACCGGCAGGAAAGGGAAAGCTCAAAAACACATGGCCCAAGTGGGTCTCAATAATGAGTCTACACTGTCAGTGACAGCAAATATACACTTTAATCAAGGTCTCTGCTGGCCACTGCAACTCTCCTGCTCATGGGAGAGTGGAACAGATGGATGATGGCACTAGCCTGTATCTCTGGATTCAGATCATTTGGAAGAGATTTCCACAATCTCAGAAAATTCATGCTTTCCACTGTCATACTGGTGTGAATCTAGTGACATGAACTAACATAATACAGCGTTCTTTTAAAAGTGAAATCCCTTGAATTCAGATATTTTCTGTACCTTCTTTTCTTGGCTAAGGTTTTTATTTTCAAAGAACCTTATAAGAAAAAGCACCTGTCTGAATTGGTCATATTAAAACAAAGCTGTCTGAGATAATTTTCCCTATTAAAAATGAAAACATACAGTTATGAAGTCTGAAATGTTCAGAAAGTATTAAAATAATCCCTGCATTCTGTTTTGGAGGCTTGCTTTCATTATGTTAAAATGGTAAAATGCAGTTCAAAGGCTTGTTTCACAACACATTCTTATTGTGGACAGAACCTCAAGCAGATCACTTTCCTCATTCTTGCTAAGAGACTCTATGGCTTCTTCCAGGAAGTCTTTATGTTGCATGGAGATGCTGCCTGTTGTAACAGGAAATTTTCTCAACCTGCATAGCAGTCTTGCCAGTGCTCAGACATTGCAGGTTCCTATACTAATCATGGTAGATGAGCATTTTTAACTAGTAATTTTTTTACTCTTAGCCAAGGCCTTAGTTACAAAAGCCTTTTCTAGGTTCATCTGCCAGAAAAGTTACACTGTGTATTACTGACATGAAGTTCTGAGGAGACCAATTCCTTAACAATGCTGACTAGGTCTATGTCTTCATGAAGGTGGCTGAATGTGGAAACTGCAGTGTAGAGGAAGAATACTTACACAATTAGAGTGTAAAAAATTGTCTAGATGATACTGGAGAGGAACAAAGTACCTAAACTGAAATCAGTTTTAGCTTTCAAAAATGTCATTTTTATTCATCCTTGCTCTTAAATGTTGACAGTAACTATTCTCAGACTTGAAAATATTTGGCTGGCGCACTACTGAGTAGGAGCAGTGCCTGGAGACAGGGCTAGGGCCAGTAAAGATGGAGAACTTAAGGAAAGCAACTACTGTGGTTAGAAACATTAGCTCTTTAATTACAAATGAGAAACATGGTAATGTGCTTCTAGTGTTCTAATACAGAGATCAGTCTTCGCATTTTGTATTAAGGCAGAGAGAATTTCCTGAAATGATTCTGCCAAAGTCCTGACTCATTTAAAATTTTTTAAGGCTCCAGAAAATGCAGCAGAAATATACAGGTTTCTTGGCATTGGTGTTAATTTTCTTAGTCTTTTTGTTGCAATTTTAAAGGTCTTTTAAACTTTTATGTAAAAATAAAACTATGCACCAGGGGACAGGAACAGTGTTCCAGCTGCCGGATCTTCTTCCAGGTTCCTTGGCACTGAGAGTTGCCAATTGCTTCCCAGTGTAAGATTTTATCTCTGAAATGAGACAAATATGAAATTAGAAGAGTAAAAGCTGTGTATTTAGTGTTACTGGATTGTGTTGTATAAAATGTCAGAAGATTTGATTTGTTTAATCATGTAAGACTTTATTAAACTTATCTAGCTCTTAAAATGCTTTCTGGAGCAGACATGATATTCCTAAGTGGAATATCCAGAATGGTGGGTTGAGTAGCTGGTTGTATAGGTATTAAGTAGTATGCATATTAATAAATGTATGGATCAAATAAAAATCAGTTCTGAATAATAAATACCTACTTTCACAATTACTTTTCTAAAAACCAGGTATATATGCTTGAGGGGAGTACCAATCCACCACTGTTAAATCTGCACTCAGATTTGGACTATGGCAGGAAATACCCTTTTCAAGTAAAAGTGCCCACAGCTATAAAAAGTCTTCTTCCACTACACAAATTCCACCACTTCTTCACAATAGTGAATAAAGCTTTAAACTCTTATATTGAAATGACTTCCCAATTTTATCTAGGTTTTAAAAGCAATTTCTGTGAGAAGTGAAAGGATAAAACCTGAGCTCTACAAACGATTTGAGCTGTTCCATCTTTTAGATACATTAAATGCAGCTTTAATGAGATCTTGAGAAGCTTAAACTCCTGTGCTGGGTTTTGGTTTACCCGCGTGCGTTGTGGCCGTCTCCGGAGCAGCGCCGCGTGGCCGTGCTCATGGCCGGCGGCTGGCAGGCGACGCACACGGTGTGTCCCTCGCGCAGGTACTGCATCCAGCGCGCGTACGGACGCGTCTCCAAAGCACAGTGCGGGGAAAGAGATTCCGTCCTGAACTCCACGCAGTATCTGCTCAGAAGGAAAAGAACCAAATTATGAGATAAAGCATGAGCTAAGTAGGCACTTTGAACAGACTTACATATCCTAAGGGTGGTGTTTGTGAAATGTAAGTTAGACATCATCATTGCTAACAAATCTCCTTCTGACCCTAACCCAATGAGTGGATTCTTAAAAACATTATGCAAACTGTTTCTCATTCTATGCCCCAGTCCAGTGTTTTATGTGTCATCTCACTTTCTGGTAGTGTTCTGTATTCTCAAATTATTTTGAAAAACAGATCTCAGTAACCCATATTTTTTCTTCTATGCTGCTGAAAGAAAATGGAAAAGAGACTTTAAGAATATCAATGAGTTTTATTGTTCTAGGAAAAATAGCACAGGACAAAACATTATAAGCATTACAGACCCAGTAATAGCATAATTTAAACTTCATTACCATCTCTACTGGTAACTAAACAAAATTTCTTACTGCTTGTGTCAAACAGTTTTAAAAAAAAAAAGGTATCTTGAGACCAATCCCATTCAGCCCCCATTGTTCAGAGACCTACATCTAATTTCTCAGACTAAGGATACATTCAGCTTTGTTTTAGCATTGTTTACTGCTGGCTTTCAAAAGCAGCTATCATCAGATCTGCCATGATCCCAATGTCTAATTCAGGACAATTAGTAAGTAATAAACAATATCTAGAACATGCAAATAAACTGCGGGAGAGAAAACCAGTACAAACTATAGCTTATTGTTTAATTATTGCAAATTTAATTACATTTTTCTCTGTAGACAGCTGTTTTCTACTGAACAAGATGACCCACATACATATGATAAATAGATTACCCTGCTGCTTCTTTGTCTGAAGGCTGGAGGGAAGATGCTGCTCGTCTTTTTCTTTCTTTACCGTATTCAGAGGTAGTTATGAAAGCAGGGACTGAGGAAAAAAACAGTTATGGTAAAACAGCAAGGCACAGCTGAGTCATATTTCAATCACTGTAACAGTGGGTGAATGAATCAGGAGCTTGTGGACGGTGATGCTGGCTCACTTTATTGAAAAAGTGATAAAATGTTGGCAACATTGGACCTCAACCCCACTTCCTACAGCTAAGCCCTCTCTATTCAGAAAAAAAAAAAATCTAATAATGCATGCTATCTAGCCAGTAAGGAAACAGGATGTAGTGGAATCCCACAAGGAGTAGTTTCCTGTTTCATACTGAATTTGTGTTCTAACTTCGCACAGAGATAATTTGATACTTAGATCCAGCTGAAGGAATGCAAACAGCTTAGTTGTTTGCTTAACAGAAATTAAGAAAAGACAGATTAGAAAAAAACATTATTGAATAAAAAGCAATATGACAGTAGAAAGTTCTAAATTATAATTTTAATCAGCTAACTGCAGATAGATGTTTGGTTTTTTGCTATTCATTGACAGTAAAATTTATGATGGCTGTGATGGAGACAATATACAGCAGAGAGATGAAATTGAGAATACCGTGTTCATGGCCGCAGTCCTCCCCCTGGTAAGTCAGGTATTCCAGGCAGCCAGCCTTCTCCTCCAGAGCTGGACACGGCTCCCCACCGTTTTTAGGCTCCTGTTGTACATAGCGCCTACGGACCCGCAGCCCGGGATGACACTGTTCTGCACAGCCACTCCAGTGGCTCCACTCCCCCACAACACAGGGAATAGCTGCAAAGCAGGATTAAAACATTATTAGTAGTCAAGACTTCTGGTTTTATCCTAATTGCTCTCAAAAGCTTGAGATAATAAGATTATATTGAGGGGCTTTTTGTTTGCTTTGGGTTTTTTTACTTTCTCTTTTCTAATTTTATTTACATGGGTTTGAACGCTCTTCCAGGATTTTGCATACTTAAATTGAAAATTCAAACCTGCCTGCAATGCTTGGCTCCCTATTCCATCCCTTGTCCACAAAGAAACAGCCCCTCATCCCAGACCTTTCACTACAGCTGTGGGGTTCTTCTGAAGCATAAAGCCTCAAGAGACCAGCTCATGGATTACCTACACCAGACTGGTCTGACCTTCCTCGGCAGTTCCTACACCACTAGATTCTGTATAAAGGCTGGAACATAAAGCAGCAGCATGCTTGATTCCCTTCAGATCACTTTCTAACTCCTTTTTCCTCAACACTGAACTGTGTCCACTGCCACAGCTTTGTTTCCCTGTTTTAACACAGGTCCTGCTCATTTCCAGCTACAGAACAGCCCACTGGATATTTGAATTTCAGTTCTCGTGGATCACAAACTTCCTCTGAACTTAGTCAAAAATTCTGGGGAAAGTACCATTATTTTTAAAGTAAACTTTGAATCATAAGAAACTGCATTTCCCTCTGGCAGGGAAGAAAAGGTTTTGTGGTGTCATTCCCAGAAAACAAAAACAGGTGATAGACACATTATTCCTTAGAGAGAAGCTACATAACACAGAAGTCTTCAGTTTATTTTTCCATTAAAACAATATGCAACGGTAAAGAATACACAGCCATCTGACATCTCCATGAATGGAGATGCTGCTTTCCTCAGCCTCATCTCCAGGAACACCAAGTCCCTGTTTTTGAAAACTGTATAACCTAAAAAATTTCGCTTTCCCTAGCAGTTAGAAAAGCAGTTAGCTTTTCAAAGCTTCACTGCAGGCTGAGCCCTGAGAGGTTGGATTAAGATGATCTCTGGATGATCAGTGATGGAACAAACACAACCCCTCCACCTGGGAGCTTCAAATCTGCACAGCCATGGCAGGAGGAGCCATGGAAGAGCAGATACGAAAAATGTCTCACACATGGGTATCCATCAAGTGGAAGAATTCTCTGAGGATAAGCAATAATTTCCTTACATGAGTCATCCTCAGCTTGTGGCCTACAAGGACATTTAATCTGACTGGTGATCCATTCCCAGTAGCTTTTTTCCTGGAGGTCACCTGGTAGGTGCTCCAGGTTAGAGAATGGTACAAAACACACATTATCATCAATGGGTGAACTATCTTAACCTGGTTCTGGATTGTTTGGGGTCATGCTTCTCATTATTTAGTTAAATAAAACTTCCCATTTCCCAGGTGTACTATTTCTTATTAGCTTGTAATGGAACATATCACATGCTTTCAATTTTTTTTCCGCATTTCCGGATTACAATTTAAATCCCCAAGAAGCTTTACAGCTTAACCACTGTTACATCCTTTATCAGTGTTGCAGGAAAGCGATGGGACAAAACTGGACTTTCAGGAAAATATTTTATGCCCTCTGGGATTCTACCAATACAAAACATTGGGAAGAAAGAGTAGAATGTGATAACCTCTTTGGGGTTTGTGACTCTTCTCATAAAACATATAAATTGCAGTGTTTGCTCTGTCATTACATCTCTAATTTCTTGGACTACTACCAATATCATGAAGCAGATAAAACCTCTGAAAGAGGCTACTTGGCAGATGTCCTTACCATTTTACTAAAATTCTCTTCCTCTGTTCTCACTGTGCTGTGCACCAGCTGTTCTGACCAAACTCGCCCACTTTTGAGTGCCCTGACAGCACCAGGTGTATTGTGGCTGAGGATGCTGCATCCCACACCCTAAGGAATTCCACTAAAACAGAACCACAGGGCTGCCCCGGGTACTGGGCCACCAGCTGTCCATCCTACTCAACAATTAGTATTCTCTGGTGTTTTCCTCTACTTACTGATAAACATGTTCCCAGACAGCTCCTGAGTACAATTTGTAGAACAGTGCTGGACAATCACAGAAAAAGCCCCCTTTGCCACATGCAGACACCGGACACTGCACCACCAGGCACTGCCCTCAGACACATGCAGAACTACAAAGTACATGACACAACCTCTGTGGCTGTGAAGGCACCACACTGACATGTCGCAGTACAGCCCTCAGACTGTTTGTTCCAAGAACTGTAAACTAGAAAAGAAAACCACTGATAGTAAAAATGTCTCAGACCCCACTATGGCATAGCCAGGACAAGTACTAAATGCAGTATAGACCTCACAGTCCTTGCCACCCGGCTGCAGGGTCCAAACACAGTCCTTGACTCCACTAGATTTTATGGCACAAGCACAGACTTCAATGCCTGATCACACATCTTAGTTCTACCCAAGTATCCAAGGACAGTCAGTGTCTATCTAGCCTGTCTATCCTCACCAACTGATTCTCTTCCAACCTGGCTGCATGAATGACCTGCATGAATAAGAATTTCCACAGAACTTTAATCTCATATTAGCACCCTGATATGCAGATAACATCAAGTCTAAGATCAAATTTTCCATTAAGAAACTCCCAAAGGGACTGAGTAAGTGCATAACAAATAAAGCTTCATGACTTCATGTCTTACTGGAGTCAAACCAAGCTGACAGTTAAATACTGGTCATCTGCAGAAATACATGGTAATTTTATGGTTATCAAGATTTAGAATAAGAAGGATGAATTGCCCTAGTCATGTGGAAAAATAAGAATATTGGGTTGCTAGAATGGAATTTAGGCAGTGGTATAATAATGTCCCTCTTGCAGTCAGTACCCAAAAACTATTAAGGGACAGTAGATCGATTTTGTGCCTTGTTGGAAAGATGCCACATTCCTCAGCATGACAGAGACTGGGTCCATGAGCTGACATAAAAGGAATGGTGCCATCTCTTGACACACTAAAAGTATCAGGGACCCATAGCTACATCTTTATGGATCCCTCTCTGTGTTGCTATTTGCTCAGCTTAGTTAACACAACGATGTTAAATGATGATTGATTGAAACAATGAAGAGGATGCAAGTCAAAGGAAATTGAAGGAAGGGATTTGTTCTCAGGTACCTACCAAAATGTGGAAGCTAACACAACACTTGAAATTTAAAAAAAAAAAAATCACAGAAAAATTACATTGCTATCTTATGAAAGACAGCTCAAGTAGCCAAAACTTTGGTTTTGTCTTCCATTTGCAGCACTGAAACACAGATATGAAACACATATGTTTCCATATGAAACACAGATCCTTATTTCTGAGTGAAACTCTATTTAATTTTTACCATCTCTGGAAAAATAAAAATGGAGGACTGTAGTATGTTCACTGTACAAGATATACTGTAATATGTAAGGATTTCTAGATTTTCTCAGAGTAACCACTTCAAATGGCGAGCTGATTCCTTCCTCAGGCTTTCTCATTGGACAGTAGTTCCTATTTAAAATGCTATGTACAAAAATATACGTCCTGCAAAAATATTCTTCTTTTATTCAAAAATACTCTTCAGTATTAGAACTATAAGGAAGTTTACTTAAAAACTGTTGAACTTGGGTTCAGCAGTCCATTAACGTCTGCTGAGCCATCTATTCATAAAGTACCAAACTTACAATGATTTCTAGACATGACAGAATTTAACCCTGCTGCTGGCAGCTTTAGGATGTTCATTCTTTCAGTGGTTTCTTTTATTTTGGAGCAATGTTTTTGTATGATTCCTAACATCTCTTGCATCCTAGCATCTCTTGATAACTTACACTTGAGGCACTTTACACTTTCCCCAGAGGACGAAATGTCATTTCTGCAGATGCTGAAATCATGAGTTGTGAACAGGTTGACAAACAAGCAGTAGCATGAGAACCACTGACCACCTTTCTTCACATTTCTATTTTAAAGCTTTGAACTCTATATTCAAAACAGTGAACTATGCCAGTGAACACCCCTGTTGTCATTAAACACTTTGATTTAGCAAGACTCAGTGGGGAGACCTCAACATCCAACAGGAACAAAAAAGAGTCTAACATTTTCAGCCACACTTGTGTAAATTGATACGAACTTCCACTATTTAGAACTATTAGAATTTCTGTTTATACAGAATACAAGTTAATGACTACTTGCCATAGAGTGTATATATGATCATTTGCTTTTAAAATAACAACTTCTTGTAAATTTAGAATTTTGGATGAGTGAATTCTACATACTACACCCATGCTACACCCATCAATGCAAAATGTGCTGCTCCCTCTGTTTGCATTTGCATTTGCATTGGTGCTCACACAACTGGGCAGTGAGGCAGTGCAGGGAGTGAAACCAGGCAGAAACAGGCAAGAGAGAATACAGAAATAGTTCCCTGTGTGTTTAGCTTCCTGAAGTGGGAAATTCCAGCTCTGGTGCAGGAGAGGCAGTGAGACAGGGAGGATCCTCTGAGACTCCATCTTCCTGACTGGATCTAGGGCACCCACCGCCCACAGAGGGTGCAAGCATGGTGTGCTTATCTTGTAGACATGCAACGCCTTTCAAGGCAATCACCACTGAGCCTGAGACAAAAAATACCATCTTGATAACAGCAAGGCATCATCAGGTGCCAGAAGTCACCCCAGAAGTCATGGTAATGGAAGTGTTTAAACTAGAACTTCTCAAGCACAATCCTGAGCTTCTTTTTGAAGGATTTCAGCTCTGTTGTAATGCTAACACAGTGCATGTTTATCAGCTCTCTCCTTTTATGACTGAATATTAAAAATCATCTAATTTACTGAAAAGATGCAACATGCTGTGGCTGTAGGACAAGCATCTTGCCAGTTCTCCCTCTACTGATTTTCCTGAATGAAAGAACAATCTATTTTAAAAATGCTAATTTCAAAAATGCTACCTTCTATCTGACTTTGTGGCAAATTTTTTTGCCTTCTGTTACTCTGAGGAGATTATTTAGCTGTGGGAGAGCTGACCATGTTTCTTCTAGAGACCTGGGGTCATAGTTCTGCTCTGCTGAGTTCTTCCGTACAGTTTTACATCCCTTAGGATGAGTCTACACCATCTGAGAGTTGTACTCCCCCTTCCCAATCCGGGCATATGTAAGCCAACTTGGGTCCCAAAGCTATGTGGCTATGTCAGCATGGCACTGAGCCTGCTAAATACACCCTAATTAGCAGGACTGTGCAGCAGAGGCTCATGACTTTTTGGCTGTAGGCTGGCGTGCATCCAGCCAGCTGGGAAGAAACATTAAGCCGACCGAGTACTAGTACTGCACCTGCAAAGCAAGGACTGCGTCCTGCATCCCAGGCACAGAGACGCTGGTCAAATTGTGAAGACTGCAAAGGATAGAAATCCCACAGAAAGAGGCAGCACTGTGAAAACCTACAAAGCAGAGCCTCAGTTTGGTAGAACTGGGCTACTTTTCCCTCCTTGCTATTGCTCACTGGGAGGCCTGGCAGAGAACCCTCTCACTCATGCTCCTACGCTTATTTTAAAGTCTCTGCCTTCACAGTGAATTCCTGCAGATTCATGCCCCTAGACAAAACCTCACCATGGGGACTTCCCCAATTATTTCATTGATATTTGTTTGTCAGGATGTGAGGAATCAGCTGAGAGACACAGGCAGTGCAAAATTAATCTCCCCGCTGTCTCTGCAATCAGACATCCCCCCGCAATCAATCTGTGTTTGGGACTTGCCCGAGTGAAAAGTAACACAATATTTTAGAGGTAAAATAACTTGAGACTGTCACTGTACTACAGCTGATCCGGAAACCTTTCCCCTCTAGTGAGAGAAAAGTTTCTGTCTCCCTTCCTGAGCCTGCCTCTGCCCTGGCGCTGCCCCAGCCTGGTGCCCGGGCTGGGAAGGCAGGAATCTGCCCCTCTCGCAGCTCTGAGCCCATTCCCGCACACCCCAGCTCTGAACCCAGCGAAACCTCCATCCCGCCAAGCCCCGGCAGGCAGCTCCCGTACCCGGAGAGAGGCCCGGGGGCGCCGAGTCCCGCCGGCCGCCCTGCCCCGCGCCCCCCGCGCCAGGGCCGGGGGCGGACGCACCTACCCGGGCACGCCTGGCCGTGGTCGTGGCAGCAGTCCCCGGCTCGCCGGCAGCCTCCGTCGCAGTAGCAGGTCCCGTAGTCACCTCCCTCCCTCCATCCCTCGCCGACGCAGGTGGCATCCCGGCCCTGGCAGCACTTTCCCTGGCAGCTGCCCCCGGCCCCGCTCCCGGCCCACAGCAGCCCCAGCCACAGCGCTCCCGACAGCGCCGTGCCACCCATCGCCACCACACCGGCCA